TTCATCTCATCATGGTAAAAACCCTTTCCATAGAACAGTCAGCATTATAGTTGCTTGCACACGTACGTGTCACATTGACGATTTGATTTTTGAATATAGCCCGATAATACTTGCTGGTCTAAGCTCGCTTCTAGGGGTGAGGCTTGCTCACGCCTCCTCACTCTGACTCACGCCTTCTCACTCTGACTTATTACTCCTCACTCTGACTCACGCCTTCTCACTCTGACTTATGACTCCTCACTCTGACTCACGCCTTCTCACTCTGACTCACGCCTCCTCACTCTGACTTACGCCCCCTCACTCTGACTTACGCCTCCTCACTCTGACTTATGCCTCCTCACTCTGACTTATGCCTCCTCACTCTGACTTATGCCTCCTCACTCTGACTTACGCCTCCTCACTCTGACTTATGCCTCCTCACTCTGACTTACGCCTCCTCACTCTGACTCACGCCTCCTCACTCTGACTTATGCCTCCTCACTCTGACTTACGCCTCCTCACTCTGACTTACGCCTCCTCACTCTGACTTACGCCTCCTCACTCTGACTCACGCCTCCTCACTCTACCTGACAATAACTATAGTCTTTGGCTAATATTGTTGACAAGGAAAGCTATGTAATGCTGCAGCCTGTACGATAACCACCCATTGTCACAATATTGCCTGTGTATCCGAATCATCAACCTGTTGTGAATGGTACGGTTGGCTGCCTGCCTCAATAGACGAACCAGAGTAAGTGTTATCCCGTCATTTGCTAAACTACTTTACACAGAAGAGATCTGTAATTTAGTACAGCAATCAGTCCTGCCAAATAATTGAGTAGTTGAGCGGAAAATGTGATCAATTATGAGGTCGACATTCACTTTAATTCAGCTGTCACTGCCAGAGATGTTGCTGCCAGCTCGATTATAATCAAGCTCGTCATAATATGTGGTATATCTATAGAGCTGTTCACCTGTACTTCCCAACTGTAATTAGCTTGGGTAATTAGCCTAATATTGACATTAGTTTGAAAGTTGGACCAATTTACGGTCAACCTTACATGTCGTTTGTCAATTTACTGCAACTTCTATTCCAGGCTTGAATGAACCCATGCACCACTAAATAAAGCTTTTTACTGAGCGGAGGATGTTTATAGACAGACATTCTTGGTTCAGTACAATTTTCAACTTTAATTGATCTGCCATTCCACGGGAGAATATAGTGGACTTTTCAAACTTGAATGACATCTCCACTATAAATGTAGTTGGAAGCACGAGTTATTCGTGCCACAACGAACTATCAGGCCTTTTACAATGCTCCGAACAATTATTAACTAAGTTTAGGTTGGTCCAATTTAAAGTCTGCTTCACGTGACACTTGTTAGCTAGCTGTTTGTCTCACGTTGCGAACTTAACTTCGCAGTCCAAGAGGCTGGCACACACGCTGCGCACGTGTCTACTGGCCATATAACGTCTGGCAACTGGCTGTAATGTTCATTCCTGCATGTCCCATTATGATAAAGCTTTATATCGAGTGGTGGGTGTTAATATAAAGGCATTATTTATTTTTACATTCTTTCGTCAAATTCCGTGTCTTCAAGTTCAAGCTATGTAGGACGTGAAACTCATTTCTATATTTTTGCACCTTTAATTGCTCTCTCACATTCAGGGGAAGCAATGTGACGAACTTTTAAAACTTGACTGACATTTCTACTTGGGAAGTTCGTGATATTCGCGTGTGTCAGGATGAACTATAACTTCCCCAACATACATATTGTGTTTCGTTTAACTAGCTTAGTCCAGTTCACGTACAAGGGTACTACAATTTAGCTAGACGATTCATATCATGATTACATCAGGACAACTTCTTGATTTCGCCTTCAAATCGACCGCTTGCTATAATAGTCTATTAGACTTGGTACTTATATTTCCCGTCTCCGTGGAATATTTTGGTGGTGAGGTTTCGGCGAATGTAATTTTTGGGAGGCTCCTTTAAAGAATTAAAGCTGTCGTTATTCACGTGGAACACTCGACCAAGTAAAGGATTGCCGACTCTTGACTTAAGCTATTTCAAATTATTAAGTGAAGAAGTGTTAACTTAAGAGTTAAGTTATTCAAATTATTCAGATAATGGCTTCAAGATAGCTGCATTTGCCATCTAAGCCCCAGAGTGCAAATAGACACAAATTGTTTGATTAATTTCGATATTTCTTAAGCAATACACCGGTTGAGTGGCATGGTTATAGTAATAGTATAAAACTATCGTTTGTTCTAAAACTATGATCAGAGTCGCGTGCAGATTTTGGCTATGGTTCAAACAATTTCCTGAGACCTTCCTATTTCAGTATTTCCAAGACAAAGGTTACGACTAAATCTATGGATTGTTTAAAATCGTGCCTCTTTTCCCCAGTCTGTCGATATGTCTGCTCGGTCATCTTAATTAGTTTTCGCTAGACGGCTAAACGTCTGACCGATCAATCTTATTTGTTATTTAATCAGCTCGTGTACAGCTACAAAACAAAATTGTCAGAACATATCGTGCTCTGATCCTAGACATGTCACACGGGCATTTATTTTGAACAATGAACTTACTGTCTTGTACTTTTCCTCGTTCATTTATAGCTCTAACTTTTCGACTACAGTGGAACCTTCATTTACTGAGCTACATTTACCATGTGTCGATCTATTTATCGAGCCTAATTATCCTGAATTATCTTAAAATCGTATTATTAATACTATTTACTATTTAGGGCCTCTATTAACCAGCTGCACCTCTAGCACGTGGTTCTGCTTTCCCTGAGAGACCTTGTAAACGGTATTTTAACTGCATTGACGTAAAATATAACAATAGATTTAAGTTAGATTGTTCGGGTCCTGGTCCATGATGGCATTCCGTAGATATACACGTAGTTGCTCAATGCTGAACTCTCAAGTTTTATGTATCACCTACATTTATTGTGAAAAGAGGGCAGCACAACCTGTTCTCCCAACACTTCAATATTTCCTTTTTTCTTTTATAGCACTTTTACTGTCAGATAAGTACGCATGGCCACATAACTTAAATGTTTAAAACACTATTTTGTAACTACTGAGGGGTTTCCAAGCTAAAATGTTCGCCCTCGGCTTCAAAGTACAACGAGGAACACAATGAAAGTTGACATATTTTAATTTTGGTGTCCTCAGCCTTCACACGTATGTCAAGAGGGGACCATGTCCGTCATGTGTCAAGTAAAATATTTTACAAGTTAAATATGTTACAAAATATTGATCCGCCCCGTATATATTGGAATGCCGTGCAGTTAGTCGCAGTACTGTGCCAGAGCCGCAAGTTGTTAGCATTATCAGTTCATCCTTTCAGCTCCTCCAATTAAACTCAAACCAGAACAACGGTCTATTTAATTTAATCTATTTCATCTTAATTTTTGTTTCCTCTAGTCCTTTATTGCGAGTTAAATAGCCGAGATTATGTCGCAGAGCATTGCCGTGGACACTTATTATCCCGAGTCACATGAAGTTAATTAGTTGTAATTGTGACGGGAGAACTGGAGAAGGTAGAAATTCCAGACACGAGTGCCGTTATATAATTACGTATAACAATTCCTATTCCAATTTAGTTGTAGAACTTAGCCACTTCAGCAACAATTACGATGAGCATGTGATCGCTGGAACATACGTTTTATAAGTTTTACATTAAGACCGTACCGAAACCTTTGTGATAGAATATTATGACCTCTTCGTTCGGTCAGTGATTTGACATGCTTAATTAACCATTTATTGATGATATATCTTCAAATATCCGTACATAAAGCATGATCTTAGAAGCAGTATCTTATTTTTAACCAAAGTTTTAAATTTCCATGTTTGTTCATGCCAATGTAGCAAATTTTATATCCTTAGTCGGTATTTTGCCGCACCAATTTTTCACGCAAGCATGTTTTTTAATACAGACCATTCAAGTTGTACTTTCATAAGTAAATTAAGCTCGTTTGTTAATTTCTTCTTGTTCTTTCGCGCCATTTTCCGGGACTTTAATTTCATATTTTGTTGAGTGTTCTTTGTGTGAAGTGAGGGATGGAAGCTTCTCGAGCTGCTCTTCCACAGACTTGTAGAATTTCTCGGAATTATGAAATCACGTCAATTTTGTCGGGATACTGTTACCAATGTTTATTATTTATCTTGTTTCAGTATTCCCCTCTGTAACGCGGTTCTGTAGAGTGGGATACGCTATAAGTATAGTTATATTTATCTTTTTAACTTCGACACAACTATATAATAAGTAAAGCAGATTTATAACATTATCGTTAATTTTCCCTTAAACTGTTAAACAGTTAAACTATCGTACGTATATTTTAATGAGCTACGAAACGTGAGTTCGATTACATATTTAACTCAATCGCCCGGCTTTATCCTTTATATCGCTTGACATGTGTTTGTTAAATAATCAGTTCAGCATCAAAATTCTAAACGCCATTACCATGTGTCCTTACTAAAGATTACTTAAGATTTTAGAAATAATCATCCCTCATGACTTATTCTCTCAGTCTGTCAATAATTAGAAATACTCTGCCAGGAATGTACTGACTATGTTTGATGTGGCTCTAGAGTCTAGCTTATATTTATTTGTCTAAAGAATGTTTCTGAGCTATTTAATAAATAAACTACACATAATCTCTGTTAAAATAAAGTTCGTGTGAATCGCATGACTAGCTCGTATTTTCAACACGTGTGAGGCGGAAACTTTCCAAGTTTCAATTCCACTTGATTGAGTGTGTCTTTATTGCGTGTTGGTGTAGAATAGGTGTTAATGAACGACACCGTTAATAGGTGTTAATGAACGACACCGTTAATAGGTGTTAATGAACGAAACCGTGTCGCTTGTTTAATTTACACTCTTAATTGCCACTGTTAATTACAATTATTAGCTAGTTTTGTTACTGCCCATTATTCCTAATTTTATATCTACACACTGCAGCTGCGTCACTGCTGTGTACCGTACCACTACCAGTTTTTCAATTATTATCTCATCAACTCAAGTTTATTAATATCACTATTTTAGGAGAAGGCTGAATTATGGGTTCTGATCCCTACTCCGAATCTTTCTACTCCGAGACAGAAAAGGTTAATATTATGTGATTTTGTTCTTTAAACTTAAGACAGTTTTGAATTTGATGTCTATCATGACACTGTATCTACAAAAAAAAGAGTTCAGACTTGATGTTCACAAAAAACTTTAGAAAAATATATGCCGATGAAGGATAAAATAAACAGTTTAACTAACAATAAATATGTTTCAGTTGGTACTGGTAATATACCTTGGAGCTGTGGTTATCCCTGTAGCTATAGTTATGAACTTCCTCATGATCCTCGCTTTCTTCAAGTAAGAAACAAATCCTCTCAATTGTTTATCCTTTATTTCCTTAGTTTGTATTTATCAACTCTCTCAAATTCTCTCAAGTGTGCATGACTTGAACGTCCCGGTGGTCGACATGTTGCCACCTAAAAGGCAATAAATTGGCAGTTTTCCAATATTTAAGATACTGAAAACTGCCACTTCCATCAGGTACAAGAAACTCAGAATAACAGGAATGTACTTCATCTTGAATCTAGCTGTTAACAACTTGATAGCGACAACCATATCAGCGCCTATCATTATCAGTAGCATAATAAAGGTTTGTTAAGTTAGATTCTGTCTATAAAAGTTATAACGAAGCAGCTTTTCGATTCCAGTTTTCTTTTTGATTTATTTCTCCGTAAACACATCTGAAATCGTTTCAATTAAATGTATGTATTAAAAAAAATCTGTCCACTTTATTTTATGAAAGCACGATAGTTAACATACCTCTCTCTCACAGAATGAAGAAGGGAGTGGGTACCTAGAGAAGGGTATAGCATGTGACATTAGGGCTCTCCTTGACAACGTGCTCCTTTGTGCCAGCGCAGTTACACTCGCTGTATCTTCTGTAGACAGGTAGGGTGAAGTGAGATGCAGAGTTTTAAAATATTCGTGTGAAATATTACTGTCTGCTCAATGTGTGCTCACAGTAGAAATTCTTGAGCAGAAACGTCGTACCGTCAGATTATTTCCGTATAATTTCTCTGATCTACAAACTACAATTCCATAAACACGAAACTGATGAGCAATGTTTTGCAGATGTCTCGCTGTTTGCCGGCCCTTTACCTATCACAAAATAGTAACGACCCGACGCGCACTGTGGATCATAGTCGGGATATGGGTGGTGTGCACCTTGGTTGCTCTTCCTCCTGTAGAACTGTCCTTTATTCCTGGCTACACTAGCTGGGGAGATATTGGATGGAGCAGGTATGTGAGGAATTGGAGACTGTAGATTCTGTTCAATCTTATGCTAAATACTTTACATTTTTGAACGCTTTTCAAAAAACTTTAATAAAAAACGGAAAAATAAAAATAATAAATAAAAGGAATTTCTAAACATTTTATCCCCTGAAGGTATACATTTTCCTGTGCGATGAAACAAAAATCAGGATATCCTCTCTTTTACTTCTTCTTTACCCTGTTCTTACCAGTGCTGGTAGCTATTATCTCCTACACTTTAATCTTCACTGCAGCTGCAAAATCTGTAAGTTTACATTTTCGGGAGATTTTATTAATTTGTTAATTATGCACTAAGAAATTATGTGTAAGTTTTAATAATTTGTACGGTTCAGCCTCTAATTTTGCTGATTGCTACCAGCATATCCACAGTTTAACCGTTGGAATTGTAAAGTTATGTTGTTTATGCCTTAATTCTAGCGAATTATCCCATGTGATATTTAGAGGAATCTGGTAATTTCGAATCAAGTTTTAGAATGTTTCAAATCCTACGTGAATATAACAAATTCCTCTCGGCAGATACGGCTGATGGGTAAAACATACAAGAGTGTAGAGCAAGCTGACTTTAAGAGGAGGAACAGAACATTAAGATCTGCTCTCAGGACCTTGGCTCTAGTTGGGGTGAGCCGTTTAATTGGGCACATTATTTAATAACATCACTCCTTGGGGCTTAACAGAAGGGTCGTATATCATTTGAAAAGAAGTTAAAAAGAGGTTGTGGCCATACTTTAAAAAGCTTGCTTTCACGAAAAATTTCCTGAATCGCTGCATGTTTGTAACAGCTACCATCACTAATTGAAACTGACATCTGTCTATACTTGCAAGCACAGACAGTATACTCTTAATGTCTTACTTTATGGTTTCACCGCCACTATTTTCCAAGAAGTACTCGTCAGCAAACAATTGTGCTAACACCTTTTTACTTCAGGTATTCGCATTTACATTCCTTCCCGTACTGGTGATATCATGTATTTGGTGGGTTCAGGCACAAGCTAAAAAACAGCCCCTCAACATCGGTATCACCGTCGTTAAAAGTAAGTGTATTTTATATTTTATTTGTAATACTTTTACAAGTGGAAGCAGGAAACTGAGAAGTAAGAACTAAGTGAATTATCGAAATAATTGTCATGAATTTACTCAATATTCTATTAATAAATATCGTTTAAACAAGTTGGAAATATAACAATGCTCAAAATGGAATAGTCTGGAACAGTCCGGAAACAGTCAATATCCGATAGATAAGCCACCCCATCGTGGGTTTACCACTATATCCTATAGCTCATCCTTCAGCAGCGACAGTAGCATTGTTGACGAGTGTCAGTCGATTCTTTTAGCCACGCGACAATGTTTGCTTCTTGCCAAATAACATAATATGAAAGCTTTCTTTGGCGCAGACAAGTGTCAAAAGGATCTTTTCACTTCGCGGGTTAAGGTGAAGATAACTTGATCAGATGACAATACCGTTAGCTCTGTCTTTAGCTCGTCTGTTTTGAAACCACATCACCAGTACGTTGCCAGGAACGTCTATCTTGGAAAGGATCTCCGCTTTAAGAGCAGGATTGAGAAATTTGTGCTGATCGTAGTATTGAATGAGAATAGCCATCTCGTCAGGAGAGAAAACAGTTCTCTTTCGTCTCCACTGTTTCTTGGTAGGTGTTTCTTGGGAAGGGTTCTGATCAGGGACCTGTCTCCAGGGAGCACCTGACTGATGGGAGGAGTCTCTCTCAGATATTCTGTAGGGGGCAGAGTGTTCAGCACCTCTCGAATAGTGCTGGGTCCTGTAGCAGGGTTTTACTGAGGGTATGGTCCGGGTATAGGAGGTCTTGGTGTTGGGTATAGGGATCACCAGCTCAGGAACTTCTAGCTCTGGGGGCACGGAACACAGCTGAGGTAACAAGTAGGAGTCCTCTTCTAAATCCAATTCTGGTAGTCTAGGGATGTAAGAGTTCTGGTAGGACATTGTGTGTTGTAAAGATTATTTGTGGTTAAGGAACTGGAAAGTAGTTGCAATGAGTATAATGTTAAATGTTGTCTGGGGTATATATACCAGTACCTGTTCCGTTTTCGTTATTGATTGGAACTTTGACGTATATCCATGATGGTTTCAAGGACATGGTACTGTTCTATTCTTCATGAAGTTAGGTGATTCCTGTTGTCTAGATACTGGAGGTTAATTGTGAGGTGACACGAGATCTGATCAGCTACCGCTTGTAACTCTGGTTACTGGTTCACCGCAGAATCCTATCACGTTGTTGTCGCAGTAACCAGAGTCTTGTCAATGGAACATGGATCAAACACTGGATCACGTGTCATCACTATCAAGTAAACTACCTCACATGTAATTATTATGCTCGGAGCTGATTCTGGTTATTCGATCAAATTCAATTGTAGAGGAGAATAATCATCGATTCTGGTTAGTCAACAAAATTTGTCACACAAAAATGTCACACAGAGTAATCGAGTACCTGGACCTTCTTTAAAACAGAAATGTAAAAATCACAAGAATGTAAACATTATTCAAAATATCCTACAAACTGTTCGAAGCCAAGATAGTTATTTTGGAATCCACAAGCCGCAGGATCTTTTGAAAATAGACAAATATTCGTGTTTATTACCAACTATACAGAAAACATCATCTATCTGTGAAAAGTAAAACACGCCTAAGTCTTAACCCAATGACTTGGAAGCTGTGCATGGCACCAGTAATATAGCAGAGTGATAGCTACCAATATTGTGCCTTAGTGATGAATGTTTGTTTTTTATCGGAAAATCGATACATACCAATAACATTTGACTTGCTAATAGAATTCTGAATGAAATTCACGTGCGTAGCCACTTAGTTAAACCACACTAAGATTTGTAACTTTTAATAATTTTCCCCTCCATTATCAGGTCATTAGCCAGATATGGTACTAAAATCCGCCTGAATTAAAATAGGGGAGGGGGGGGGGGGGCTTTTTGTTAACCAATAAAAACTTCCAAACATAGCCAGAAACGAGCTTTTAGGTGTTTTAAATGACTTTTTGGAAGATTAAGCATTTCTATCTCTGCGCCAATATGGGCGTGGCTTACCTGCCCAAACCCTCAAAAGATTTGTCAGAGCCTTATAGTTTGTAAATTCAGCTATTTCCCAAAAATATCAGCATCCCTCGATAAATTTGCAACTCTTTAGTTTGGTTTAACTCGCAGAGTAATTTAATAGCTAATGTGCGTGATTCATTAAAAATTCTCATTCAATTAACTATATTTGATGGGAAAATATCGATTCATTATTTAGAAACACAATAACCGGTATTCAGCTTTCATCTGTTATCGGGCTTTATTATAACTATCAGTATTTACACTTTCCATCATTATCCCTTTGATGTTTTACTTAATCAGAGGCGGGATTGATTTAACAACTAATTTATAACTGGCAGGTTCTGATCTGATCACGTATTCAATATTCATGTACTGTTTTAACATTTTTTACATGTACCAACGTAGCTCAGGCTAATTAGTTACTAATGACTATTTCATATTTATTATGATATGATGTTAAGGCGGACTACTAACGCATTTCATTCAGGATCAGTGCTGTATTTCGTATGTCACGTACAGTAAACGGTACTTAAGAATATTCTCCGATGATATATAGTACTGATTCTCCTTTACAACTGATAAGCTAACCAGAATCAGCTCCGAGCATAATAATTACATGTGAGGTAGTTTACTTGATAGTGATGACACGTGATCCAGTGTTTGATCCATGTTCCATTGACAAGACTCTGGTTACTGCGACAACAACGTGATAGGATTCTGCGGTGAACCAGTAACCAGAGTTACAAGCGGTAGCTGATCAGATCTCGTGTCACCTCACTATTAACCTCCAGTATCTAGACAACAGGAATCACCTAACTTCATGAAGAATAGAACAGTACCATGTCCTTGAAACCATCATGGATATACGTCAAAGTTCCAATCAATAACGAAAACGGAACAGGTACTGGTATATATACCCCAGACAAGATTTAACATTATACTCATTGCAACTACTTTCCAGTTCCTTAACCACAAATAATCTTTACAACACACAATGTCCTACCAGAACTCTTACATCCCTAGACTACCAGAATTGGATTTAGAAGAGGACTCCTACTTGTTACCTCAGCTGTGTTCCGTGCCCCCAGAGCTAGAAGTTCCTGAGCTGGTGATCCCTATACCCAACACCAAGACCTCCTATACCCGGACCATACCCTCAGTAAAACCCTGCTACAGGACCCAGCACTATTCGAGAGGTGCTGAACACTCTGCCCCCTACAGAATATCTGAGAGAGACTCCTCCCATCAGTCAGGTGCTCCCTGGAGACAGGTCCCTGATCAGAACCCTTCCCAAGAAACACCTACCAAGAAACAGTGGAGACGAAAGAGAACTGTTTTCTCTCCTGACGAGATGGCTATTCTCATTCAATACTACGATCAGCACAAATTTCTCAATCCTGCTCTTAAAGCGGAGATCCTTTCCAAGATAGACGTTCCTGGCAATGTACTGGTGATGTGGTTTCAAAACAGACGAGCTAAAGACAGAGCTAACGGGATTGTCCTCTAATCATATTGGCTTCTTCCGCTAGGCGAACCAATTCTTCTTACACTTGTTTAACAACGCTGCTATCTCTGCTGAAGGATAAGCAATAGGATCTATCCGGATATTAAACGTGATGAGAAATAGACAAGAGACGAGCCATTTGCTCTTAGATTTTGTATTTCATCATAGAATCAGGGCTTAGATACTTGAATGAAGAGAATTTATGAAAATATTAACTAATAACTTGTGATGTTTCTAGTTGTTAAATTTTACTCCTTTAATATGACAGAAATCTAACACTTATACAATATATTTGTCTACCTTTTTGTCGAAAGTAAACGGGAATACCAAAAAGCCATATTGAGGCAAAGAAACACTAAAAATCACCATATAGAGGGACTTACCACCCTCCCATAACATTAAAATCAAATCTATTGAAACATTTAAAGAATGACCTGATTTGAACAGCACACTCTAAATCCTGTATTTTCAGTACTGGTTTGGGTGGTCTACTCTGGGTACGCTCTCAACCCAATAGTGTACGGGCTCATGGACAGGAACTTTAGAGGAGCTTACAAGACTTTTATAAAGTGTAACATGCATCATGACGAGTTCAGGTGAGACTTAGTATTAAATTGTTACTTATTGTTAAATAGTTCTTTGACTTTGTCGGCCCTTAAATATTAATTACCATAAATTTGGTTTTAAACATTTTTTTACTTTCTGCACGATCCTGGTTTATTTATATCATTTATTTACCATAACTTAATTTCGAGTGCTAAAATAATGAGCTGTTAATTTAAATGATTAACAAAAAATAATTTTGTTAATCATGTTGGGTCCTCCTATACGTATCTTCTTGCTGTACCTCAACCACAATTTATAAAAATGTACTATACTAATATGATTTCCTGTTAATTGCAGGAAACGAGCCCAAAAGCAGCTTTACAGTGATATGGAAGATGAACGGAGAAGGAGTTGCCGGCCCAGTCAGTTTACTACCAGCGCCCAATTTCCTCCTTCTCGTACTTCTTCTTTCGCTCTACGGAACGGTGGCAATAATGGATATGACAGTCTTGATAGGGTAAGGAGCTTTAGTCTAAGAGCAAAGATTTTATTTTCCATTAAACGCTGACAGTTAGGAAATGCTACAGTTGTGCTCCTTAGAATTTATATTCCATAGCCGTGTTTTTAATAATTAACATGCTCACTTGTGTACTCAAGTCTGAATTAACAATTTTATCAGGCCCAGAGTTACATGTTGACGGAACTGAGCAGTAACGGAGGAACACCCGGATCAGTAACACACTTACCTAGATCCCGGTCAGTCAGTGACAAATCTCCGGCCAACGGAAACGGAGACCTGTGTAACGCACACGGATATAATCGTCTCTCAGGGGGCAGTTCAACAAAATAAGACTAAGAGCTTGTTATACCATGACGGACAAATATTTCATAGTTTTTAGAGATGCACAGCTACTGCCGAGCCAGTTAATCAAAATCCAGATGAGGAAAACTCAATGAAGTTGACTACACTGCAAATAATGCTCGGTTTTATTGAAAAGTTTGAAGAAATTATTAGAACCATACAGACCCTGGTGGTTGTATTACTATTACTATTAGCGATATTGTTATCAAATAAAAAACATCGAAATCAATTGTAGTAAGCTGATCTGATTCTGGAAAATCTAAAGACTTATAAACTTTCATTAATGACAGGAATTCCGATGTAAACGACAACTATGCCGATATCATTCAATGATTGTCGAAAAATTGGCAACTGCTTTTATTGTGCGATACGGATTATTTCCTCGAACCGTCGCAATAACAACTTTTATTTTTTCTTGTCAGTTTTTAGATCTTTTATTTTTTATTTATCTATTGATACTAACTATGGAATATGGATGAGTGACTTAAACATATTTAGAACGGAAGTTAACTATTTAGGTTTACATCTTTTATCTTTTAATTGAAGCGGTTATTTTAATTTTATTTGATTTTAAGTTTAGGAAATAGAAATCATACTTTGTTAACTAAACTGAATAAAATTAGACCTCCTTTGAATTGAATGTTGTTTGTAATTGGATGCTGTTTAAATTTAGTGTTTGACCAGTGATCTACTTCACAGTTCACTCCTAAGTACGTGGTCCTCTCTGTCTACAAACTCAGTCTTGAATGTGATCGGGTACGAGTAATTGGAGCTGTGTTTAGCGTGTGGTCACGTTTTATATAAGTATAGCCTATTATAGATAGCTAGACGTACGCGAAGTGAGCAATGCGCGTCCTTTTATGCTACCTACTGAGTGTGAAAGTGAATCAGGAATGAACGTACGAACAGTCTTATAATGATATAAATCATGAATTACCTACAAGGTCGTATCATGGTTTGAATTTCTTACAATCCGGTAATATTAAAAAACAAAGTTAAGATATATCATCATTGTTTTAGAAGTGCATATTAAACAATTGAAACACCGAGCTCACAATTCATTCGCATAGTTAGAAAAGGTACGTGGTATATTTACATTGTACGTATAATTTGGTATAATAATGATAAAGTTCAAATCTAAGTGCGATCGTTATCTCACAATTTGAATTATCACACAATTTCGTTAATTGATCATAAAAGTGCTATTCAACATCCAATAATTTCAACTCTAGCTTAATTCAAACTTCATATTCACAATATTCTCCGGAGTCACAACTACTTCAGTAGTAAGACGTTTAGTTATTTCTCGTTTCGTCAGTAATTGAGCCAAATTTCAGCAGTTTCTCCTAGCAATTTCCACAAGTTTTCCTACAGAGTATGTTCTTGGCTTTAGCAACCAGTTCGCTAGCTAGGCCTAGCTTGCCGCCGTTGTCATCGCAAGCTCCCTGTTGCTGTAGCACCTTGCAGTATTCCACCGAGTCTTCACATCGCTCCTCTAACTCTAGTTCTATTGGAGAGTGCTTTATTAACTAATAATATTAATACTAAAAGTGACTAAGGCTTCGAAGGCTTTCTAATTCTATATAAAAGTTGATAATGAATCAAAAGGAATTTCAAGCAATTTTTCCAAGAAATTTTAGCAATTTCGTCCCAAAGACTGTTTTACTTTTAACCAGCCTAAATTTTGGAAATGATTTTTTACTGTTCGTTAAGCAAAAGACAACTATAATTATATTCTATTGTACCAGTGAATGGTTATGGAAAGGAAAGAATGGAGGTCTCAACCACAAATCTTTGCACCCACTCACATCGCAGCATGAAATTGACTTATGCGGCTGCGACATGATGCGACAAACCGAAAATTGTCAATTTGCAGAGCTGGGCACATCTATAGAGCCGAGATATGCACAAATTTCGCACTTACGTACGCGTACGTCGTACAGCTCGATTAAAAACAAGTCTGTAAACTCAGCTTTGATTGGGTCAAACCATGTTTAGAAATGCAAATGCAAATGCGATTTGATGTTTAACTTTAAGTTCGGCGCAGTCAAGACCGTCCAATTAAAAGTTGAACTAGGCTTTTAACTAAAAGCATTCTTCAGCAAATATAAATCCAAATTTACTTACATAGAGCTAAAGAAATTAAAGGAATACATGATTGACTTTACTGAAGACACATCTATCATTACAACTACTTCAAGAAAACGTTACTTAGTTCAGTAACACTATAACAATTACTTTTCATGAATGCTTTCCTTTTTAGCTTTCAATGGACATTTTGTTCGTAATTATGTTGCTTTATAAGTCTTCCAATGCTAACAAAGAAATCAAACTCACATAATAACAATGCTGCAAAAAGATATTGGCAATAATTGGATAGTACAAACACATAGCCCCTCGCCGAGGAATAAATTACATACAATCGAAACAATCCTGCTAGAATACCATACTTTCATAAAACTGTAAAATCTAGGAAAAAAAGGCGAAACTGTTAGAAAGATCCATTCAAAGTCAAATCTAGCACCTTCACAAAGTACTGCTGTCCGTTGTTAAATGCTGATCAAATAATATCCGAAAAACTTAAAATGTGCCGGAACAAGTTGATTCCAGAATCTTTCATGCTTAGTCCATTTAAGCAAAATTCCCGAGACTTAACCGATATGTTTCACACTAGACTTCTCGCGTGCTTCACTTACGACCTTCTTCTTCAGCAGATCTTTTAGCTTTCAAAACGGCCTCCGCTTCTTTTCCCTCTGAAAAAAGTGGACTGTTAATAACAGTTCAAGATTTTAAATTAAATCAGATTTATTGGCGGCAAGGTAGAAGTATATCATAATATGTTTTCAATTTCATTATCACTATGTCTACCTCTTGCAACCTTACTATAGCATAAGTGTGCTTATTATGGTGACTTTTACTCAAAAAATAGCAGCACCCACGATAGAAAATGTGCAGACAAAATGCTATTGCTAAATCGGAAATGGTGCTTTGTGGCTCCAGTGCTGTTCACTCAAACTAACTTGTTAAAAACACTGAATATTAAACTAGATTTGTTTGAACTGTAAATCGACGATCAATGCTTCTTTTTCCCGGATCAGCTAACTGTTCACTTCTCTTTCCTAGATCAGCCAACTGTTTGCTTCTCTTTCCCGGATCAGCCAACTGTTCACTTCTTTTTCCAGGATCAGCCAACTGTTCGCTTCTCTTTCCCGGATTAGCCAACTGTTCACTTCTTTTTCCAGGATTAGCCAACTGTTCGCTTCTCTTTCCCGGATCAGCCAACTGTTCACTTCTTTTTCCAGGATCAGCCAACTGTTCGCTTCTCTTTCCCGGATTAGCCAACTGTTCACTTCTTTTTCCAGGATTAGCCAACTGTTCGCTTCTCTTTCCCGGATCAGCCAACTGTTCACTTCTTTTTCCCGGATCAGCCAACTGTTCGCTTCTCTTTCCCGGATCAGCCAACTGTTCACTTCTTTTTCCAGGATTAGCCAACTGTTCGCTTCTCTTTCCAGGATCAGCCAACTGTTCACTTCTTTTTCCTGGATCAGCCAACTGTTCGCTTCTCTTTCCCGGATCAGCCAACTGTTCACTTCTTTTTCCAGGATCAGCCAACTGTTCACTTCTCTTTCCTGGATCAGCCAACTGTTCACTTCTTTTTCCCGGATCAGCCAACTGTTCACTTCTTTTTCCTGGATCAGCCAACTGTTCACTTCTTTTTCCAGGATCAGCCAACTGTTCGCTTCTCTTTCCCGGATCAGCCAACTGTTCACTTCTTTTTCCAGGATCAGCCAACTGTTCACTTCTTTTTCCTGGATCAGCCAACTGTTCACTTCTTTTTCCCGGATCAGCCAACTGTTCACTTCTTTTTCCTGGATCAGCCAACTGTTCACTTCTTTTTCCAGGATCAGCCAACTGTTCGCTTCTCTTTCCCGGATCAGCCAACTGTTCACTTCTTTTTCCAAGATCAGCCAACTGTTCACTTCTCTTTCCCGGATCAGCCAACTGTTCACTTCTCTTTCCTGGATCAGCTAATTGCTTGCGTCTATTCAGTTGAATCTGCTGAGGCTCTGAAAATAAATGCTATCGTGCTTACACCCAAATTTTAAATCCGTGTCATAAAAGCATACTTTGTTTAGAATATTGCAATTTGAGCGACATGTATCAAAATGATTTAGACTATAGAAATAGCTTTGATAAATGATTTATACAACCACCATATTGTGAAAAATGATCTTCTTATGAAAATTGTTACTGCCAATGCTTTAATTTCAGACTGTAATAAAAAATCAGAATCAATAATGATTCACACAGACTTTTTGTGCCCATCATCGCATTACTGCTTGCTCTAACTCCGAGGCGATGCTAAATTGAACTAATACATGCAAATGCAATGTGTGCTGTGTGAAGCAAGAAAGACATCGTGCGCACGACCTTATCTACATAAATCAAGGCTTTATCCAGCAGCATTCCTCACCACAACTGCAAGGACACTGTGTCATCATGGCATCATGGAATTCAGAGTCGTCTGCACAATATCCCTCGCTCTCCCACCACTCACAGTCCTCTGGTGACCCCGTGTTTTCACAGCCTCTCTTCATCACCAAAACTTCTTCAGCAACCTCCTCGGCAACTTCTTCTCCTTCACAACTGCAAGGACACTGCTCCATGATGGCATCATGGAACTCAGAGTCGTCTGCGCAGTATCCCTCACCCTTCCAGAATTCACAATCCTCTGGTGACCCCTTATTTTCACAGCCTCTCTTCATGACCACCAAAACCTCTTCAGCCTCTTTTTCTTCTAATTCTGTTAGCAATCAGTTTTATTCCGGATCATGAATGTTTTGGGGGACCATAATAACTTATAATTCTTAATTGGTAGTAGTTTCAGTTTTGTTGCCTAACAATTGCTTAATCAAATTTATTTAATTATGTTTTTAAATATTTTCAAATAAAGATAATGCAGGTAGTAATCAGTAACGAAGTTTTCCCTTTTTTACTTACTTTCACAGCCACAAGTTTTAGCACACTGTTCAATCATAGCGGCATGGAAGTCCGAGTCGTCTGCACAGTATCTGAAAAAAGGATCATTAGATTTGAGATGATAATATTTAAAAAACGCAATTGATGTACGAGAATTCGTTGCGATGATAATTGGAGTTAAGGAATAAAACGTTTTAAAGAATGAGCCATCATGACATGCCATCAAGATCAAACAAAATTAAAGTTGTATGAGCCAAAGTGTCCTTAGAAATGGCTAGAGGGGTAGAATGTAGATAAACACAACTAACCCTTGTTCGTTCCACCAAGCACACTCTTCCGCTGCTCCAACATCCTCACAGTGCGATCCAGCGCCTGCGATTATTATTTCAATAGTTAACATACTTAACTTAAATAAAATCATTAAATCGTAGTTTATTGTATAGCTTTTGCAGCATAAAGAACGAGTTTATTTGTGTAATAAACAGTCAGCATAGAATTTTGAGTTTTAAAGTAAAGCGTTAAGAAAGGCTAACAGTTTCTTCATAGCGAGCTCAAAAAACTACTAAACTTAAACTTGAAACGATAGAAATCGATAGAAATCGATAGAAATCGATAGAAAACGATAGAAACATTTTACAAAGTTTTCTTTAAACGACTAAAAATATGATAGTTTCTTGGCGTGTTTTTATTTGTTTACAAGAGACTTCATTCTCATTTCTTAACCTCCTTTTGACGGATTTGGTAAGTGAGCTCAAGCAAGCAATGCCAAAACTGAACGATTGTTCAAAACCATGACAGCACAGCTATAGTATTACTAATATTATTGGTTGTTGCAGAACATAAATGGGCAATATAAAAGGCGCCAGACATAATTGTAAGTTATACCCAGCTTTATTAACTTGCAAAGTACAATTAATTTAAAGCAGGAAAAGTTAAAATGGAAGAAAACGATGAACAAGCAGATTTGGAGCTACCTATATTTAACGGCGAGACTTCGGAACACATTAGAGACAAATAACATAACTATTACTGGAACGAATTTCAGCTGGCGGAATTAAGACCGCTATAACTATAAAAGATGAACCATCCCATATCTCACTTCGTTTGGATTTGTCCTGATTGATTCTGTCACGAAGCAGGTTTATTTGGCCGTTATGTACCCTTGGTAATAGACCCAGACTGGAAGGTAGGATTGCGAGAATGATCACTACCACGCATATTATGGGCAATGTTTGGGATCCAATCATTGCAAGTGGGCTATAAAATAGAGATACGTGAAATTAATCAAGATTCTGATGTAAGACTTGAAAGGGAGTAATATAATTTTACTGAACGGCGCCAGCCTCTCTTTTTATCCGCCATTATATCTTTTGTCGTTTTAAACTGTTTAAGCCTCCAAGTAAATATATAAATGCGATTGGGACGGGTTCAAAGATGAATACTGTATCAATGATCAAAAATATTACGACTGTAGCTTACAGTCGTAAGTTCTCCTTGGTCGACTATCTTTGAACCAATTAAAATGCAAGCAAAATAGACGACTGAGCAGTGAGCATGTTCTCAGGGCGCTCACTAGCTCAGAAGACTATTTGCAGTTTGAGCTATATGCAGTTAATGCAGTTAATATGCAGTTAACATGCAGTTACTCGGTACTTCAAATCGGAATGTTTGAAGAAATCGTGTGCATACTTGAATGAAATTACTATGATTGGGAGAAGAGTTAAGTAATTATGGTGGAGAAAAACAATTCAAGGAAATTAGGAGAAAGGAGAGGCGTCTGGCATGGTAGTAAATAAAAAAGAAAGGAAGTGTTATTCGAGCTTTTCGTAAAATTAATTGTATATGAAAATACCCACCTAGTCTCAATATATGTTAACTGTTAATGTAGTTAATTTTGTAATAAAATTGAAACAAGTCTTACTATGGAGCTATAGCTGTGGACTGGCTATACCTGGTTAAAGCACTCCCATTATATTTATATAGTTTGTCTAAGTTAGACGAAATATAGCACTTCCTGACTTCCTCAGAATCTAACTCGTAACTGTCTACACGTTGTATATTAAAGTCATTATTGTAACGGTAAATTAAAACCAGACAGAAACAAAGTGTGAAGGGCCTGAACGAAACCCCTCGTGCAAAAGGGAATTGCAGAAGGGGATTGCAAAAGGGGATTGCAGCGTGTGTCAACTCGTAACTACATTAACAGCTAACCTATATTGAGACTATGTGGCTATTTGACTGGGGATTGCTGGAGCCGTTTAAATGCAGTTAATCCTTAGATAATCTGCTGTGAAACGTTACTGCTGTGAATTTATACTGTATACTTAAAAGTGCTGAACCAACCATGCAAAATGTAATTAATTCTAATAAATAATATGGTCATAGTCATAATTTCAGCGTTCATTTTTTTCATAAAAATGATAAGATCTGAATCTTATCGTTAAATAATGCTTTAACTCTCTTTCCTATTCCCAGACAGCTCATACACATACCACTCGATACACTTACGTTTTACTCGGTTTACTAGGAGTGGTTGGTCAGGATGCATTGCCTGGCTTAATCCAAACAGTGCTACAATTACAACTTGCAGCATGATTTTATCCTATTCAAGCTATGAGATGTGCATTCGGGTTAATCATGACAAGAATAACGTTTTATATGTAATAGCATTTAGCAAATGAACTTTGTGATCAATTTTTATAGAGATACCTTCCGAGCGAACAATAAGTTCTTTAGGCCGTGGGGACCGGAAAGTCTGAACTTTCATTGACCTAAGGGCTGGTGGACGCTTCCACCCACCTCTGAACGGTGGAAGAGCACTTAGATCAACTACCAGGATGATAAAACTGCAGAGTCTCAGCATAGTGAATTTACTGAATTATAAAGCAACGTTAGCGATTTCGGGTGAGGAAAGTTGAAATATCTGAAAGCGAAATGATTGGATTTACAAAAGTGAACCACTGGACTGTAATAAGAATAAAACAATATGTGCACGTGTATTTAAAGCATGGGCACGTGCAAGCTTTCAATTTTTAGTGATCCTCCTGCTCTTTGTCCGAACATTTCCGGAAGCGAGGCTGGAGAGCCCTGCTTTGTAGTCGAGAAAGGTTCATTTCCGGAATGGGTGCATCATATCCGGAAGCGAATAATTCTCACTATTATTCATCGACCTACTCCAATGGTTTCGCACGGCACGTGGACAACTTTCCCCAAACTTTCATCCCTTGTCCAATAGAAAAGTTGAAATCACATACTCATTCCGAAGTGCCCGGCCTCCGTGCAATAAAATATGAATGCTGTTAATTCACTATTTATGCAAACTCTTCCGACTTCATAAATTCACGTGAGAAGCTTCATGGACGAATCAAGAGGATGGTGGTTAACAAAATGGAAACCCCGAACTTTAATGACGATACTGACTTGAATTATAAAACAATACTTAAGTTGCTAAAAATTGTAAGCACTTTAACTTAGTAACAAGTTTAACGGGTGATACTCGTAAAATATCTGTTCCATATATTGGGACCGTCGACGAGTCCAACTCGGCGCGCGTCCTGGTAGGTTGTAAACCTACAATAACAAGTCCTATCTTATTGTCATGTTATTTGTAATTGTGATTTTATTAGATTTACGTTTACAAAGAACATACTATGAGTATGAGCCAGGCCTGTAGTTGACTACAGAGTACAGATGCGTAGTTTGGGGGAAACTGTTTAGTCGAATGCCGAGTAAAAATAAAATCTGTCGTCAATTGGTAACTACCATTGACAGAATCAGTCTTCGAGTTTCGACCGATCACTGAAGAGATACAAAATTTGTTTTCGCTTGGGTAGCTGACAGAAATCTGGGTATCTGACTGACTGATCCTGGGTTCAATTCGCACCAGCTTCTAAGCTGAGCTTACTAAGCTTTCCAATATAGCGTGCTATTTATAGGATGAAGCCGATGACCATGAAGACCGTGATGACAATAATGACAAAAACTAGCATAAAGAAATCCAAGAAAATATAATAGCACTACGTCAATTGACTCAGGTGATCAGCGCCCTTTTGAGAAATTTGTATATATAATGGTTGTAACTTTGCTACTTGAAGTTGTTGATCTTATGGATCTATTGTCAAGAAAATTCTCGAATTGTATTTTCTAAGCCGCGTGACTCTATCACGTGATAGTAGCACTAGCAGGCTCTTACAGTGGTATCATGCTCTATCTTAATTAGTGATAATGACCACAGCCCCCTACGAAGAACTAAGAAGAAGATAGTAGCAGGCAGAATTGAGGCATTCATTCTGACATGATATAAATAAACTTGACCGTAAAGTTGCAAGAGCAGCTGTCCCTTGGAGATACAAAAAGGGCTATTCGACATCACTATAAAACAAATTTGCAGATTTATAAAGAAGGGGATCATGTTGGACAAATACAATAGGCAGAGATTCGTTGTTAGAAATTTTGCGACATCTTTGAAGCCCATCCTTTCACCTTTACTAATACTATACAGTACAGTTCGTAGTTTGCACAAGACATTCTTTAGACAGGATATGATGAGTTTCAATAAGTAAGCACTAAGCAATAGCTAAATATTTGACGATCATCGGCCAATCATTGGACAATCTAATTCTATTGTCATTGAGATGTAATGGACAATTATTAATGATAACATTTCATCAATCATCGAATGATCTGGGTGGTTTTTATCAAAAAATAATGGAAGATAATGATGGGAGAAGCATTTTGGGAGCCGCATCAAAGAGTACACCAAAATGATCGGAAATGAATTATTGGCATACGATCTATAGAAATTTGATGACATTATCTATATAAATATTGAACAAACAATGAAAGTGACACTAGCAGTGCACGTAGGTCATAGTTTTTTCCTGTGATACTACGTAATTATATTTCTATTGAACATCACTTAAAATGAGTATTCGATGTGGCACTTGGAGTTGAAATCATGATCAGTACACTTTAAAGAGCTACACAATTAATATAATTGAGATGGTCCCAACGACCGTTATAGCTTTGAGTATCGTCATCACTGCTAGAAATGAGATGCCCTGTTAGTGTTACTACATCAACATGGTTACTACGTGGATATTGTAAATTTTATTTGTTGTGAAAATCAGGCGTATCCAGTATCTCATTTTATGTTTATGATGACATCGTTACGATAATAAAACCTAATGGAGAAATGGATCACACGCGGAAATTGGTCAGCGCTGTCGCCAAAATGAACACATTCGATATGTTCTGTCATAAGGTTTGATTCTAGAAATAGTTATTGTTCGACCTGGGTACCTCCTTTTGAAGAATCAATGGTAATATGTTTTGTTTTTGTAGATACAAAACTCAAAAGTCATCCCACAACAACAGAGTTTACAATCAGAACTGATAACTGCAGCCTAAGCCATATCGTTTGTAGGTTTATTATATGTATAACCTACCAAAACTCGCGCCGAGTTGGACTCGTCGACTCGGTATTTGAAAGAAATATTTTACGAGTATCAGTATCACCCGTTAACCATAATCATATCGTTCGTCAAGTGTCAAGGAGGTTAGTGTTACTTGCTAATGCTTTTATAACCATGCATGATTGGAAATTGATGGAAAAGCGAAAGTTATGTAACCATAAAAAGAAGTATAACCATAAAATCAACCAAAGCTAGTCAAACGCAAATTTAATTGGTCATGGCAAGGGCTAGGAGTAGGAGTGTAGACGTAGTCTAGACCTAGTCAAGTGTTATGATTAGCTTTTGGGGTATGGTTAGGATTGGAGTTAGGGTTTATGTAAATCCGTTTTGTTCGGCCGCAAAATCGTAAAAAACCTAAAAAGTCACAATATTTTAATATGATTATAAATAATAAAACTACGAGCTACAAAATCCACTATAAATTGATGAACCAATTCGACCGTTTCCATGGCTCGTAGTAGCATTTGCAAAAATATTTTATTTTTGGTAGCGAGAAACATTGTATTTGTGAATCGCCAATCGCGCTACAAAATCCCGACTGTCATTAGGGGTTATTAATTTGAGTTACTATAGATCAGGTAATTTAACGTCACCACTACTGACTACATATTTAAAGCTTTGCGTCAACTGAACTTTTTATAAACATCTTACTTATACTAGACTCCGCAGCTTTTACAGGGGAACTACCTCTATATTCAATATTTCACAATACTAATAGTTTGAAGGCTAATGCATCAACTTTATGTGTTCCATAAAATGCAATGCACTAGTGCCACTGGGCCTTTACGATTATCAAATCAATCTCTCCGTCAACGACATTTTTGACAACCAATATTACCACTATTATCGCGAATCGAACTAAAATTGGCACTTGGTCTTGAGCGTTTAGTAAACGCTTTACTCATTGCCCCTCACCACTCACTTCACCTCCACATAGATAACTCCGATTATAGCCTCCTCCAGGGTTGCCAAACCCCAGAGTCAGGCAGACTTTCTGTCTGCTATCTAAATCTAATCCTATCTAATATTTTCGTTGTCTATCTAGATCCAGCCTATGTTTAAAAAATACTTGAACTTCCAAAAGAGCTTTCTGAAGTTTGGACTTATTAACGTGGTTTTCTTAGCCGAAGCTGTGCAAACTTGATGAAAACCAACACAAACAAAGAACATTTGCAACATCTCTTGGGGCACATAGTGGTTCATTCCATAGAATAATAATAAACAGACTGATGAAAGTCTAAATATATCGCTCCATCAATGTGAGAACAGGATTAGCACTAAAGTGCTACTATTTATATTTTACACCTGCAAATATGTTTATTTTCATCAGCATCTTCTCACCTGATGGCCTGCAGCCTGCAGGTGTATATTACATAAATATCTCTCCGCTGTCGTTCGATCCGTACAATAATCGAACTCGCTCGCTAGGTAATTGAAATAAGCTTGGGATCTAATAGAACTAGTTGCACATTGATGTGATAGTGATACTGATATTCGTTTAAGAATCGCATTATATATCATAATTGAGAATAACATCTCATTGTAGTTTTCGTAATGATCTTGCGGAATTGAACAGATCTTAAACTATCGATGTACAAAGAACTTCTGTTGAAATTAAGGATGAAATGTGGCGGACAATTGCCTGTCCGTAGCTGGTACTGGTAGCATATTATACCATTAGATTACGTAGACTCGATGAGGACATCCTCCATTGAGAAGTGAAGCGAGCAGAGGACAAGAAGGTTTCCTGACCCTGTACCAGTGTACCTCTGTCTTATTATTTGCAATTAAGCCAGAAGCAAAGCCCAATTTGGGCAGATTTTCACCAATACAACATTGGAACGGGAAGAAATGGTATTCAATGGAACAACATCCTCCACATTGTTTGCTTCCAGTGCTTCACAGATGACATTAAACTCTTAAATCCAAGCTATATTTTCCAATTTTGACCCTATATGCTATAACCGAAGACTAAATGCATATGTTGTTATGTGAAGACTCTTGGTCGAAAAGTGAGATTCTCACACTTTACAATGAGAAACGCTTTGCAATGATTCGTTAATATAGAAGGAGCAATTTAAGAACCATTTATATTAATGACGTTCGTAATCGATTCCTTTCGTTATGAAACGTTGTTCCTCCCTTTTCACCCAGTCTGCAAAGTGCAAAATTCATATTTTATGAAGGGTGATCTTAGCTGTCACTAAAATACTCTGTCACTAAAATGCTTTGTCACTAAATAGGGTGGTTAGCAAGGAGCTGAAACGTGTTCTATTGCTGTCGCACCCAGTCACCCAGTGTTCACCAGACAAGGCCCAATAATGTATTGGTTATTTATAGTATTGATTAACACTAATTAGCTTTAGAATGGCTAAAACCGTTGAACATAGCAGATGTGGTGTTTGAACTCTGATGGGCTGGCAATACTTCATTTTATTACCGTAATTATTAAGACATTTAAACGCCAGAAAGTGAATTTGGGAACTTCAGTTTAATTCAAATAATTTGAAATTATCAATGATCATCATAACACAAATAAAATATTGCTTGTATAGAATGTGGCAATAAATAACCTAAAGAATAGCAGCAGCAAGAATTTTTTAAATTAGCCCCGCAAAAATCGTGTGCTCGAATGCAAGTTTTATTTTCGCTGAAACATGTAGCATATTTCATTTCACAGTCAACTTTTTAAGTTCCGACCGAGGGCCACCATAGCTAATAGTCAATAAAATATTCAGTCAAAACTCAAAAGCATTACACCTACGACTTGTAAAAGAATCATGATAGTCAACATTTTCCACCTCGGTGATATTCAGGCACAGCTTAGTCATTCCAAATGTTTATATTCAAACGACGCTCATCGTAGTTGGTATGTAAACCAAGTATCTCAACTTGTAGGTATTGGAACCAAGTATCTCAACTTGTAGGTATTGGAACCAAGTATCTCAACTTGTAGGTATTGGAACCAAGTATCTCAACTTGTAGGTATTGGAACCAAGTATCTCAACTTGTAGGTATTGGAACCAAGTATCTCAACTTGTAGGTATTGGAACCAAGTATCTCAACTTGTAGGTATTGGAACCAAGTATCTCAACTTGTAGGTATTGGAACCAAGTATCTCAACTTGTAGGTATTGGAACCAAGTATCTCAACTTTTAGGTATTGGTTCCATTGGGGGTGGCGGGGGTTGGTGAGAAGTAGAGGGGGAGTGGCTACTTTCAACTCGCAAGTATTGTCCCCATTGAGGACTGGGGTTAGAGGGAGGCAGCAGGGTGGTTGTAGGAATGCGGGTACCTGCTGGGGTCCCTGGCGCACACAGGTAATCGTCCCATTCTCGCCTGTAGGGTCATATTTTTCATTACGGTAATAAAATAATACTTTTAAACTGGTTGCTAATTATATTCACAAATTCCATCTCAAATCTGTCTGATAGAAGAATTCAAGGACCATAAAAAAGGAGATAATAAAATAACGAACCTTATTTCTACAAGTTTGCGAGGATTGTATTGGATTTCCAGATATACGCTGCTGTAATCGATAACTGAAAATAAAACGTTCGTTTTAACTTTTAGTGACTTGCTTAACCATATTTTATACGTAAAAATGAAAATTTACTATAACATAAAACTATCGATTGATGTTTTAGGTACATATAAAAATTTACCGTTATCAGGAATATGCTCGAGTTGTCTAAGCTTCTTCTCTACTCCCCAAATGTCAGCTTCATTTGAATCCATCAAAACTTTTATTGTCTTTTCTTCAGCATAAAACGTCTGGTGGAGAGAAAAGATTTAAAAATTAAACATCACGACAAAATACATTCTAAGATGCGGCTCAAGATGCATTTTCGAAAAATCTTCTTTGATTTACAACAAGTAGCAACCTAAGGAACACAAGCAAGTAGCAACCTAAGAAACACAAAACTAGGGTTCTTTTAATACGCTGATATTTCCATTTATTTTATATTTTAGTCAGCAGAAATAACAAACCTCAAGTTTTTCTTTGATGACTTCTTTAATTTTACTGACGTTTCTATCAAATCTCTGGTCCACCTCCGGCTCGACGAATGTTCCTGAATAGGTAAGTTTTTCTTGACGTTGTCTGAATATAAAATTTTTTTCCCTGCTCTTGTCGAAGGCAAAAAGATCGTAGGGAATAAGTAATCGGGTTTGGATATATGAGCTATCCCGATGGACCTGCGGTGACGACAAAAGTCTGCTCCTTCGCAATATAGACCACTCCCCTATAATTATGAGTATAGGAAGCGTCTGTTATGCTGCGCGCGACGCTCGGCATGTGTTAGTTAATTGCAGTATCCAACGCGAATTTCAATTGTCAAACGATGCCGTTCAAATTAAATTAGCCCAAAATTTGTGCGCGGCGTACTAAATATTCTAGTACATGCAATCCTGCACGCGCGCAATGACAAATTACGATGAAAATATTGCAACTTTTTAACAACAAAATAATCCAATATCTAATTTTTTCCCTACTCTTGCCGAAGGCAAAAAGATCGTAGGGAATAAGTAATCGGGTTTGGATATATGAGGTGGCCCGATGGACCTGCGATGATGACAAAAGTCTGCTCCTTCGAAATATAGACCACTCCCCTATAATTAAGTGTATAGGAAGCGTCTGTTATGCTGCGTTCGACGCTAGCCATGTGTTAATTAATTACAGTGAAATTCCTCCTTCGCAAAGTTATTTTCCGCAATTTTCTGGATTTATTTATTGTTGATGCGCGGCGCTGCATTGGTCAAATAAATCGTCAATTTATACCATGCACGAATCACACTCATTTATAAAAAACATAGTATGTAAATATGATGCACTTTTTTCCAGTCACACTTTTCACTCAAAAGAATTAATGGTACAAGTACATCGTAGGGAAAATTGATCGTGCGTGGTTTCACCGCGGCGAAATTCTTGTTATTATTATTAATCGATAAAATTAACTTTTCGTTGCAAATATTAACGGTTTAAGCAGGGAAAATTGATCGAGCGTGGTGTAACCGCGGCGAAATTCTTGTTAAATATTGAAGCTATGAATGGTTTGAAAAGCATTAGATTTTTCTGAACGATAAAACCATAAATGTTATCAAAGCAAAGGTTTTGTCGAATTTTGAAATAATGCCATAATTCATTATTCTTAGTATTTCCGTAAGTGATAATACCTTTAATCACATCCGCACTTCTATGCAAAGCCAGGCCAGAACCCACAAACTATCTCAGCACAGCACTGAAACTCACCATGGCGTCTAGCAGACTGCTGTTTTCTGATATCTCGGAGATCAACTAGAAGTTTGACAGTGTCCAGTAAACGTTTGGTTTGTCTCTGTTTCTGCAATACTTGTTGAAGTGTGTTCCCCGCCGTGCTGCAGAGCTCATCGTCCTGTCAGGAATGTATGAAATGTAAGAAATAGATTTTAAAGAAGAAACCGCACGCATATTGTGCATTTATATTCCCTCACTTCCTCAGCTCCATTTCCGATTAAAAATTAGGTTAAATGTAAATTATGATTTATCTTCCAGAGTAGCTACCAATAGTGTCAGACCGGGTTAAAATAATAATTACCTCCTTTTTCTTCTTATCTTGAGCCAGCATAGTGGCCCTCCAATGGTCTATTTCGAGGGCTAGAGCGGCTATTTTCGCGTTTCTTTTCTCTGCATTGTTAACTTTCTTCTTGTGTCTCTGAACTATGATCTTCTTGAGATGACTCATGTTCTGTTTCGTGCACACTTTTGTTACTTGAGCACTGGATTCCTCCTGAATATCACAGGTTACTTACTTGACAATAACTTAAAAAACCCAATATCTATCAATAATCTGGAGGTTCATGACAAAATCATTGGAGCTGATAAGAACCCACCAGCTTTTTTGCAACATCAACGTCACTGAGGTTGTCTTTACATTTCTCTAACAATTTGTACACGTTTCCGAGCTTTTCCAATGTTTGAGCGACCTGAAAAAGTTATAATATTTGATCTCAGAACTGTCAGAAGTGAGAATTAGAAATATATATATGGATGGTACAGTCATATTTTAGCACCTTGAGTGGACTTTACCTAAGAAATTACTTAGGCGCAAAATGAGACCCGTAAAGTACCGTTTGTCGAGCGGTGTCCTTTCGCCGAAGACCGACTCGCTGTTGAAAAGCCCCCAAAAATCTCTTGTCGTCTGTACTTAGTTCAACCTTTCTACGCTTGTTGGGCTGTTGCATATCACCTGAAGGAAGAACATCAATAAAGTGTGTGAATACCGAACACCGACATTCTCAGAAATGTCACTGTAAAGAAGAAGTATTGTGGTATTGATCTACCCACCTAATACTGGACTAAATACTAATGGCAAGGATCGATCGCGAAATTCAATCGGGATATTCTATAGGTCCAATGACCATGTAATTTTATTGTACAACAGCTGGTGGACCTAGCCGCAATATCAGTTGCATCACGAAAGCAAGAGAGTACCTTGAGTCTAGAGGAAGCTAGAGGTCACCTATTATATATACGTTACTACATATTTAATTCAAATGAAATCTGCGCGCGATCGCGCGCTTCATGTGTTGCGCACAAAAACGTCTGAAAAACCGGTCGCGTCTTACATAAAGCTCAACAGAAAATTCGTCTCTTTTGTGACTTATACGAAAGAGAACAAATCGCTGCATCTACCATTAGACCTAGAACAAAGACCATAATGGAGATAAGTATTGTAGGAAAGCTACGATTACCTTGGTATCGAACGTGTGGCGAGTATTGGTGTCGGGGTAACTGGTGTTGCGGCGGCATTCTGTACTGAGAATGCTGCATCCGCTGATACATTCCAGGATGGTACATGATACCTAAACAGTGCATTGAGTTATTACGGAGAAATGGACAGCACTTTCATGTATTATGCTGATAGTACACAAAATAGAAATAGATACTGAACAGTAGTGGAACTGTAAGTTGGCGGTTGAGATCACTGAGAATAACACTTCCCTTTCATTTAATTTTTAGATGTATTTTACTTTCATCTTCCTTCTCAGAACATTCTGCTGAACTACAAACTTTGAATTTATCCACAATAGAAAAGTTATGAAATTGATCTCCTAGCATAACAGTTTACCCAAGCTCAAAGTAAAAGTTAAAAATTAAAAATATCACTCTTTAGATTTACTCCGGATATCAGAAGTTTCAATAAACTGTTCCCAGTTCTGTCCATCAAACTCCTTGCACACAATTTCAGTCACAGTCTTACTATCAATACAATGGGGCATGACCCCAACTCCATCAGGGTTTGATCGAGGGGTATAAAAACTCTGCACGCCACATGTTTTACAGAAGGTATGTTTCGCTTTACCACTGTTGAACGAGTAGGTTGTAAGATGGTTCTCTGATCCTGGAGCCAGTGTCAATCTGGATTTGGGTACGATAAAATGGTCGTTTTGTTTCTTAGTACAGATGGAACAGTTGCACTTCCAAACATCCAGCGTGCTGGGAGCTAGAACTGTGAACTTAACATTACCACAATGACATGAACCAGAGTGAGTGACTAGATCTTCAGAGGCTGCAACTCCTGCCATCAGCTGTATAAACATAGATATATAATAGAATGAAGAAAAAACAATGAAACAAACTCAAAACATGTTCAATATCAATGTCAAGAATTTAGTGTTACAACATGAAAGTCATACAGAATAATATCTGATGAGGCCTGTAACAGAACGAGAAGTTCACAGAACAAAAGCGTTTTATGAAGCCACAAAATTTAAAGGACTTCTAAATTTCCCTTCCTCATTGTGAAAAGAATATAAAGATTAGGGTTACAGATCACGTGACCAGTTAGTACGACAGATGGATGGATAAAGCTTCGAAATAAATTAGTACATCGCTGAAAATAAATAAAATGTATGATATCACAATCACTGAATAAAAACCCAATCCAGGCATATTATTATAAAAATATTCTAAATGGGTCAGTGAACGTTCTGGTTGTTCCCAAAATGTGTTAACGCAGAAATACTGTCCAGAATGTTGATTTCTCCTAGATCCAGTCGCTTTACAACTCTCATACAACTTCCTGGTGGGAATTAAGTAAAGAAATCTCAAAATAGGTGTGATTTTGTGGAGTCATCTGGTAATGTTCTAGAACAATAAGAATAAAAAAGAGGCGATTATGTTTTACTCAAAGTATCAAAGGACCGTTCACATATTAAGGCAGTACCAGTAATGGTACATTTTATGCGCATAATTTTCTAAGCACATTTTGTTCACTAGGCGTTGTTAGTCAACGTTTTATAACACGTCCGGGGGGGTACCAATGGCATAGAATGGAGAAAAATGGCATAAAATTCATCAAATGGCATAGAAATTTCATGGCATAAATGGAAATTTTGTTTGGCCAATTCTCCATTTATGCCAATTTATGCCATGAATTTAGGTCTTCATATTTGACCTTTAGGATGACTTTAAATTCGCAAATATTATTAGTACTTGAATAAGAGACATGTTTCATGCTTTATAACGCTTGGAATGATCGTTAAAGTCAAAGATTCATATGACAAATTAAAAAAATAGAAATGTATTACCGTATACTACTACTACTACTACTACTATGTCGGAGCTAAGTCCGATCTACGCCAGAAAACCCCCTCCATATATCCCTGTCCCGCATCAGGGTTCGCAGTTCCTCTTTAGAGTTTGTCCCAACTTCCTTCAGTAACATAGACAAGTAGCTTTGTCTTGGTCGGCCTTGCTGTGCTCTACCGTGCGTAGGTTCCCATAAGACTAAATCACTGGCAAGTAGCTCAGGATGTCGGATGCAGTGTCCCGCCATTTTTAATCTCCTGCTTCGTAACTTGTTTGACAGCCTTGGGAGGCTACCATACAAAGTTATATTGCTGACCTTGTCCTTCCATGAGATACCCAGCACCATACGCAACATCTTTGTGTATGTCCCGTCCAAACTTTTCTCTTGAGCCTTTGTCAGTGTCCAGGTTTCTGATCCGTAGAGCAGTACTGATTCACAAGCCGCTATGAACAATCTAATCTTTAGGCTCTTTGAGAGTTTGGATTTCCAGATATCCTTCAGTCTATGTAGGGCACCCCACGCTTTTCCCTTTCTAACCCTTATCTCCCTATCTGTGCTCTCAATCCAGGAGCCTAAGTAGATGAAATCATCTACATTTTCTATGGCTTCCCCGGATCGACTTTGTAGGTCGCTAGATCGATCCTCCATATTCAGTGTCATGACCTTGGTCTTGCCTTCGTTTATGTGTAGTCCCACGCTTGCTGCCGCCGATTCTACTCTGAGCAGGAACTCGTTAGCCTTGTCCATGTCCTCAGATATAAGTGCTATATCATCTGCAAAGTCCACATCGGTGATGATCTTGGGCCCCACTCTTCTGCTTTTTCTACGTTCGAGGGTGAGTCCAAGTCGCTCCGCATCATCGCCTATGGCTTGCCTCATACAGTAGTCGATGACTATTGCAAAGAGGTAAGGTGCTAAGGTATCACCCTGTAACACACCTGCAAGTATCTCGAACAATTCAGTTTCTCCGTCTGGAGTTAGGACTTTGGCCATTGTCTTCTCGTACATGAGCCGTATAAGCTGCACGATTTTGACTGGAATGCCGTAAGCTTCTAGAATCTTTAGCATTTTCCCACGATGTACACTGTCGAAAGCCTTCTTAAAGTCTATAAATGTCAGAACAGCTGGCAGTTTCCGACTCTTGACACCCTCTATAAGACGTCTCAGTACCAATATCTGTTGAGTTGTTGACCTTCCTGGTCTGAATCCATTCTGGTTTCTACGCAGAATTGTCTCGATTTCTGGCTTCAACCGGTTTAGAACCATCTTGTTTAGAGACTTGGCAACTAGGGATGACAAGCTTATTCCCCGATAGTTCATTGGTTCGCTAAGGTCGCCCTTCTTTGGAATTGGTATGATGTTGGCAGTTGACCATTGGTCTGGTTTCTCACCTTTCAATAGAGCATTGTTACAGAAGTCTAAGACAATTTGATCAAGGTCGCATCGTTTTAAGACTTCTGGGGCTATGTTGTCGTCACCCCATGCTTTCCCTTCCTTTATGCTGGACTTTGCTTTCCTGTACTCATCCAACGTAAACGGTTCTGTTCCGATATTCAGAGGTGGGTGGACTGGATCAATATCCTCTTCCGCGTTCTCTACCGTCGGTGGTGAGCCGAGAAGAGTAGCAAAATAGTCCTTCCATTTCTGAACCCTTTCCGTTGGTGAGTTTCCCTTGATTTTGCCAGTATATGATGGAGCTTTACCTGTGATCTTGTTGATCATGGTCCAGCTTTTAGCATGTCTGCCCTGCCAACTTGCTTCCTCCAGTTCCCGGACCTGCCCCTCCAGCAGGTGCTCTTTGGCTGCTTGATAAGCATCGCCTAGCTTCTGTTTGCCCTCTTGGACAGCTATTCGGTTGTCTTCTGTAGCATCTGAGTGGTATTTTATGCTACATTCCCTCAGCTTCAGCCTGGCAATTTCAACACTTGGAGTCGCTGAGATTTTACATCTTTTCTTTTTCTCCTTTTCAGGTAGTAAAAGTCGAGAAGTTGTCCTATTCGCATCAATAAAGCATTGGTACCTTTCTGTTGCCGTCTGATCATCCTTTTCAAGTATGGAAAAGCGGTTTTTAACTTCCACTGTGTACCTCTCTTGTAGAGCGATATCAGTTTTAAGTTTAGACCAGTCCAGAACCGGAGCCCTCTTCTCCGTCTTGCTTATCCGTAGACTAAGCTTTACCCTTGCTACGACTACTCTGTGATCCGAGCCAATACTGTGGAAACTACCATATGCTTCGGAGTTCTTGACGGAGTTCCGCCATTTCTTCCGGCAAATGATGAAGTCGATTTGAGATTTACTTTGACTCATATCTGAGAGATATGTCCAGAGTTTACCTCTTCGCTTCTGAAATCTGGTGTTTGTGATTTCTAGCTGTCGCTCCAACAGCATATCCTCTAGCAGTCTACCATTTCGGTTTGCTGGACCCTTGTGGAAGGATGTCCAGTTTCCTGATGATGAGACATGCGCATTGAGGTCTCCTACAACGAATAGTAAGTTGTGGGCTGGTATCTGGTCGATGGCACCACCAAGGCTGTCGTAGTAGTTTTCTGCTTCGTCGACAGTCGCCCCCTCTGTCGGGCTATAAGTCACAATAACAGTTGTGACCGGGTTCCCTGCAAAGTTGGCTACCATCGTCCTCCTGTCATGTGAGTATACACTAATCAATGAGTTGAATACTGTCTTTTTGTCCAAGACAATACCAACCCCACCAGCAGCCGCCCCATTGCTGGTTCTCCATGCCGAAGTTGTTATGAGGTGAGAGCTTCCAAGATCTTGATACTCGATTTCAGTGCTATGTACTACCCGATGCTCCTGAATGCCCAAAATATGTACGCCACTATCCCTCATGCATACACCCAGCTCATCCCTCTTGTATTGTTCTCTTATTGTTCGTACATTAAGAGTTCCTACAAGAATTTCCTTCTGGCCACGTAGTAGTAGGGTACCAGCCTTTGAAAGAGTTGGAGCAGGAGATTTGGGTGTGACCCGCCGGTCGAGAGATTAAGGTGTGTGCCCGAGGTAAATACCCCACACACCATGTGTTGAGTCTACGGCGGCGCCCGGCCAATAGGCAGGTCACAAATTGTTTTGCCAGACTTGTATAACCGCATCATAGTACTCAAGCGAACAACCATCCCCCTGTTCGCTAGGGCCGTTACTGCAGAAAGCCTCACGTCTAGAACAATTGATCATTTGTCGCTCCTGATCCTAGAGCATCCTTGTCTCGTTACTTGTCACATGCACTTTTTCTAAAGAGGAACTGTATAGTGATATACAGAAAGAAAATCTGTAGTAGATTTTCAAAGGCGACTGATAATATTGCGGACGCCACACCAGCAATATGACAACCATACCATAATCCAACATTCCCATGCACCTTTATAGTTTAGAGTGCTTAGCACTATCCCAACTGCCAATACATTGCCAAAACGTTTTTGCCCAACAGAAATGCCAACTATAGTTATAGTGTTACACACTGTGCCTCAAATTATTTGATCAAAGACGAGGATGTGGGATGATAGGCCGGTATATGTAGTGTAGTGCTGACACCTAACTAGGACTGAGTGCAGTAGGACGGTAGAATGCAAGTGTGGAAGTCACCGTATATCAAATATATACCAAACATTTCACTATTCAAGAAAAGCAAATTGTGAGATGTTCAAAATGTACAGAATACAAACATTGACAACACAACGATTTTGAATGTCATCAAGGAACAATGCATCTGATGTATTTGTCTTCGACGAGTAGCCAAACATTAGGAGATCCATTGATTAGGCTATGTTCCTGGCAGTAGTACTTCATCGGGCATGACTTATAAGAAATAAATCTAACCACTCCTGTTGCAAAGTCCTGCTGAGATTTGAAGACTTTAAGAGTTTCTGTACTGCCAGCTTTCAAAACTGTTGAACATCCGCATTCAGGTTGATTGTATATGCGAACATCAGAAGACACTCCAAACGCGTCCCCCTTGAATCTTGAAAGACGAGATTTTGTTGATAAAGTGCTTCTTCCTCCATTGAGCGTGAGTGTCTCAAAAGACCGGAAGGATAGTGTTCCATATATTTATCTGTTGATATCGTTTCTCCATCATCACAATCATCAACTCCAGGTTCTACCTCATAAGCTAAGTCGTCCAGCTTCATCATCTACAGCTTCCCAAGAAAGTTCTTGGCCATGGACGATTGGCTTCCCACTCCGTTCTTCAGGATCTGCGACTGCGGCGAACACAGGGAAATTGTTTCTTTTCCCTTCTCGAATGCAGTCCCTCGATGCCCTGTCCAGCGTTTTTGCCAACTTGCCTAGGCTTATCATACCACCAGTCCATTTCACTCGTTCTGCTTTCTGGCCTGTAGATTTAACCTTTTTGAGGTGAACTGTAGGATGCAAAACTGTACTTCCACGTGCATGTGCAATTGCAGATGTGTCTTCATGTAATGATAAAGCACTGTACACATTCTTCCTCTCCATTCCATGGGCCATAATTATCGCATCCGTATTTCTTGAGCGACCAGATGAAAAAGAAACCCGAATAAATGCAAACAGCTGCTCATTCTGATCACTTCCAAGGTAATAAGTGACGATTTCAGCATTAGGGAATTGCTTCTTCAGCAGAGTTAAGGGGGCAGGGGGGGGTCTTTATGAAATTTCTCTCGAAATTGATTTTAAAGTTGTTTCTGATAGAGGGGAGTGATACCTATCTGCTGCTTTTGGTCCCATGGAAAAATATTGTTCCTAGCCGAATTTATTGCCGGTCAAAGGTCAGCGTTCATGTGTAATTGTATTGCGCAAGCGATTTTCAATCGCGCGCCCTGAAAATTGAGTCTAAAATTCTATCTTCTCCTACATTTATTGAGCAATCACCTTGAAACTTTCAGGATATGTTCTAAGGACCATTTAGAAGATTCCATTCGATCAGAATTTTAAGATAGGCCTTAGAAAAATTTTTATTCGATTTTGAAAATCTTGGACCTCGTTTTTGGACAATTTTTCCAGGTCCAAGATTTTCAAAATCGAATAAAAAATTTTCTAAGGCCTATCTTAAACTTCTGATCGAATGGAATCTTCTAAACGGTCCTTAGAACATATCCTGAAAGTTTCAAGGTGATTGCTCAAAAAATGTAGGAGAAGATAGAATTTTAGACTCAATTTTCAGGGCGCGCGATTGAAAATCGCTCGCGCAATACAATTACACATGAACGCTGACCTTTGACCGGCAATAAATTCGGCTAGGAACAATATTTTTCCATGGGACCAAAAGCAGCAGATAGATATCACTCTCCTCTATCAGAAACAACTATAAAATCAATTTCGAGAGAAATTTCATAATGCCCCCTTAAATACAAAACAAGACCGTCACAAGTACATATAAGATCAAGGTACGTCTGATTCGTTATGCTGACAGCTGAGTAAGTATTCTCTTTCCAAGTAACGAAAAATGTTTTTTCTCAAACAGTTCCATTTTTATTATACTTTATAGTTTAGAGTCTAATTTGGCATGATATCAGATCATGTGATAAGAGTATTATACCCAACATTGACCGGCGAACTGATAGCTACTTCAGAAGCAATGAAACTACAATCTTCTAGATAAAATGAGTCATAGTACTTTCAGCCGGAGCCATCATAAGTGACATAAATCTAAAAGATAGTATGGTTAGTTTCTAAATATAAACTCAAACTCTGAAAAGGAAACTGCCGTGAAATATGAAACATCAATAAAAGGACCAATTATTTAAAAAAATAATTTATGGAAAGCCCCTCAGGCAAAATAAAAATCAATTATGCAATAAAGGAATCTTAAAAGGGTTTGTACTATTCATTCCTGAGGGGCGGAGGGAATTTAAGGCATGTATATATCGGTGCTCCTTAACATCTAAACTACTAGGACTTGAATTTTCTAGGATACACACTGAAACACTATTGTTAAAATTTTCCTTCTGAGTCAGTCCATGCTCTATATGGAGGTGGAGTCCTACGCAGTTTGAGTCATCATCCGTGTCAACCTTTTGCCCACTGATGATCTTGTAGAATGCTCTTCTGTGTTCGCCAAACCTTACCCGTAGCATTCTGGTGGATTTGCCTACGTATGGTTTCTCACACAGTTTACATCTGATCAAATATATGATGTTGTAAGTGATGCATGTACCTGGTGCTGGTTTTACCCGTTTCCCATTGATGCTGATTTGTGTAGCACTATCAATAGACTCACACGTTGCACAGTTCTTCTTTCTACACGGCCTTGTTTGACCATGCTTATTCCCCAGAGCTATTTCTTTCACCTTAACCAACCGGCTTTTGAGGTTGCTTCCTGTTTTCTTGACAAATTGGAAGAACTTTTTGCCATTCTTCTTTTCTTCAAGGGTGTTACTCTGTTGTTTTGAGTCACTCAGGTTACAAAAACTTCTGGTCTTCTTTAAGTTCTCCTCATACTTTTTCACTGTGGTGACAATGTCAGAGTCACTTCCGTAGGTTGAGACAACCCTTATTGGTAGGATCTCTGGCTTCAATGTGTTGTCCTTGGGAGGTCTTCGTTCAAGGTTTCTTTCTGAGTTGAGAACTTTTTTGCTAATGTTGTTCACCATTTTTGAGGGATAAGCAGCTGCCTTGAATGCTTGGCTTAATTCACTCAATCTGGTTTCCAGTCGTTCTTGTGAGTTGATTATTCTCCTGAGTCTGATACACTGGCTGTAAACTATTCCACTATAAATGTGGTTTGGATGTGCACTGCTAAAATGTAGATAGCTCCTTGAATCTGTTTCCTTGATATGGAGGTCAGTTTGTAAGTTTCCCTCAGGGTCGAAACAAAACTCGATATCTAGAAAAGCCACAGGCGTGCCAACTTCCTTCCATTGGGATTCGTCAATGAGTAGCCCATATTCTTTCAAGGATTTGTTTACATCGGAAATCCACTGGTCAAATTTCCTTTCAGTGCTGTAGAAGAAACCTGCACCATCGTCAATGTACCGTCTTACAGTCCTGACTCTCTTCATCATGTCAGTGTTACTGTAAACGCATTTGTTCATTACATAAAATACAGTTATGTTGGCCAAGATCATGTGATATTACATGGCCCCATGGAGAGCATTGCCAGAGCAATTGGCCAGAGAGCTCCATAGAAGTAAGGGTCCTACTCTAGCCAACAGCTTTAATACATTTCCTTCCTCAACTTCATTTTCTTCATCTAACTGCTGCTGCTGCTCAGCAACTACTTGATAGCTGGCACAGTGACAATTGTCTGCGTAGTGTATCTGTTAGCCTCAATTTTGCCTCAAGGAGGGAAGGTAGCCTCAATCCAACCTCTCATAAGTTTCGATAAAGTCTCAATAACCTTCGGGCTACAATTACAAGTTTTATAGTGGGTCTATAACATGTTTCCGTACATTAAAGTTAAAACTTAAAATGCGGTCGAATCATAAATTTTTATTGGTGACACATTAGATAGTCACAATACCGAACATGCTCGAAAATATACACAAAAGTATAGAAGCTATCCGACGGAATTTCATGTGCAACATAGATATCAAGTAACTTGTGAGTTGTTAACCTGTTTCCGTAAATTAAAGTTAAAATGCGGTCGAATTATTTATTAGCCTCATTTTGGCCTCCTACAAGTAGACTCGGCGATTTCTGAAATGTTGAGTTTGAAGAGGATGAATCAATCTTTATTGTTGACATATTAGATAGTCACAATACCGAACCAACTCGAAAATATACACAAAAGTATACTTGTTAGCCTCATTTCACCCTCTCAAAAGGTGGTTAGCCTCATTTTCACCTCGAATATTTAAAGCTTAGATCTCGATCAAGTATAATCACTATGAATTATACTTGCAACTTGGATATCATGGACGTAACATAAGAAAGTTATATTTTGAAAGTGGTGAGGCTAATTTGTTAGCCTCAATTGTCCCTCGCAGTTAAATCACTCCTACTGAGTCTAGTGAGTGAGCTAGGAGGTCGCCGAACATCTCATTTTAAAGCCGTATCGATTTTCTATACGCATACCAAAAATCAAATGCGTAACTAAAACAGAAATGAAATTACAGAAGTTTTAAATTTGTTGTCAAAAAACGAACTTTTAGGGGTGTTTCTAATGACCAGGGTCAGTACAACAAATAGAGATAAAGGTGGACAGTACTAGTGGGGTGCAGACTATTCGTTATTAAATTCTCAGTTCAAAGTTTTAAAATTTAATATTTCGAATGGCATAGAATGGAGAAAAATGGCATAAAATTCATCAAATGGCATAGAAATTTCATGGCATAAATGGAAATTTTGTTTGGCCAATTCTCCATTATGCCATTTATGCCATTGGTACCCCCCACACGTCCCCTTTGGTCTATATTTAGAATGATCGACATGTCAGTGTACAATGCCCAACTATATGCCGGGGGTTATCATCTTTTAGTGTGTAGCTCTAAGACTGGGTAATGAGTACTGAACCAAAACCCTAATTTTCCTCTGACTGAACTTAAGCTCAGATCAAAAATAAACATCACGATTCAATTCATGCCATATTCTATAACCCCTACACTATAGGATGCTTAGTGCTAACATAACATGTGAATGATCCCTTAGCACAGTGAGGAAATTTTGAATTGAAAAACTTTAGTGAAATGTTTCCTGAGTAATACATGGGAAGATTCAAAGTAAAAATTGTAACCAGAAGGAACAAAATACAAACTTAGACATTGAGATAATTCCAAGCCATCCTACACTGTGTGTAGGATGTAAATCTTCTATCTATGCCATTTTAGTTAGTAGATGCACATATTGTGTACTAACCAAGTTGCTGTTTCTCGCTAGAAGTCAGCATATCCTCAAGATCCTCCGGTGCTATGCCTTGTTGCGTGGCTGCAAGTGTTGACGCGTCTGCGCGCAGTGACTTGTCTACCAATCTGCTGTTCTCCTGGAAATTAGTAAAGTCATAACTTAGTCCTTCATTCCGGCTTAATGTAAGGCTCTGGAGTAAGCCATTATTCACTGATATAATACACTGTACATAATACAGATACAAAAGCAAAAGTTCCTTGACAAGATTCATTTTAGGATGTAATTAAAGATACCAACACTCACATTTAAATTGTCTTTTCTTAGGGACATAAGGTTATAAATAGCCTTATAACAAACATTGAGTAACTTCAATGTCAGCTTCTCCAGGGGCACATGGAAGAGATAGAAGGTTCGTAGAGGAGAAAAGTCGGGTGTTCTGTGCAATTCTTGTATTTCTAGAAAGTTCTCTGTGTAAAGGGTGTAGAGAAGCTCTTTAGCGTCTTTATAGGGGATTAGAGCTAACTCAGCTACCTGTAGTGTTTAATCGTTACTGAGAGAGGCAAATTCTCCGACTGAATTATGATTTATAACACCATTCTAAAAACTATACAAAAAACTGGCTAAACACAAGATGGAAGTGTCTTTTTTCAACCAAAGTTGCACCTGGAATCGTTTTTATGAAAACTTATCTAAATAAAAAATAGTATGTTTTTTTACTACAAAAAGAACTAGTAACATAAATCGTTTTTATGAAAACTTACCTAAATAATAATAAAATTACCTGTTTTTGTTCGATCATTTTCTTGGCCATGACTATGGAGAATATCCGATGTGATTTGGGACCAAATCTTTCCCGAACAATAGAACAAATGTGGTGTTTGGCGTACTCGAGATAAAAGTTTGAGAAGTTTATCAGAAAGGAGCCGCCCCCGAAGTCGTCCACTAACTTCACTATACCTGAAAAAATATATTGTGAGCATGTTAATCATTAATAATGGTTAATGTTGCAATCATCAAATTGTTTTGTTTTTAGAGGTGGTTCTCCGGCAGAACAGTGTGTGCTTTAACTCACTAACTCACCACTAGAATTATAGTATCTTCTAAACACTATCTCCGTGTGTAGTGTACATTATTGTAGAGGATGGTGCTGAAACTATCTCGCGAGTGTGGCTACCCATTTACGTGCTTGAAAGGGTGTGAGCTATAAATAGCCATGATGGTGGAGATCATTGCATAGAATTACTGTTATACTATACATTTTGGTAGAAGTTTCAAATCAAGTTTAAGTATAACTTAGCGTGTGCACTGGGTAACTAAGACTGAAATAATTTGGAGTCACATGAAATAGTTATGTTAGAATATGTACCATATAATGACGGCAAGAGGCCAGACTTTAAGGCTTAATTTATGATACAAGTTTTATCCGTACGGGATAGAGGTCAAAATCAATACTTCGTAGTTTCAGCAATTTCGTGAGTGGATCACTATTGTTACAAGTCTGTTCATGAGATTTGAATCAAGCTGCTACAGTGCTACATCCGAACCAACTACGTGCATTGAAAATAAAAGTTGACTCTAACTAGTGAACATTTATATCATGATTATTCATTTCAATGTAGATTGGCAATATTGAGGGACCTTTTAACTGATATGATTGTTTTGTCCGGTGACTGAAAATAGGTCATGTTGACGCCTCATAGGAAATAATATTACACACATTATGTTTCTAGGCTCAATTTCTTGTAGTGAGTTTTGCATTATAAAACTGAGTATACAAGTTTACAAAGTTACACGGGCCTTATTGTCGGGAATTACAGTTGGTTAATTATTAATACGTGTCAGACCAAACAGCCACTGATTGGTATAATTATTAATTGTTTAGGTAGTTAGATCTCAGGGGGCCTTTTTGTCGGGCAGCAATTTTGTCAAGTGGTAATGCTGCTGCAGGTAGTAGTACTCATGATCGAAGTAAATAATTAGCGCACGTGCAATAGTTACTAATCACCTGCCATAGCCCAAAACTGCTACAACAGCTGCAATTTCCACGTGGCTCACACGAGGCAGCCGAAATATCATTTACAACTGCGGTACCCAAACTTTAGAAACCGATTATAAACAAATATTAACAGGTGATTCCGTTTATTTCTTGCGTCTACTCGTTACTCTCATTAATTAGTTTGCAGCTGAGAATTGTTTAATCTTATACTACATCTCTTTAACTAGTTTCTCTTTAACTATTTTCTCGACATTTTATTGAGAAAATTCTGCTGCGCTGTTTTGGTAATAAGTACAAGATGGTAAATTAACCACTCCTTGGTTTTGAGCGATATGATGTAGTTACTTACATGCTTGTTAATTGGAGAATACACTCTAATGGGTACATGACAATGTGACGATCAGTTATTATTTCTTCAGCTCAATTAGGAATAGTCCGAAGAAGCGTTTTAAACGACATTTCACAGTGAGACAATGGTGGTAAAATTATCAAGAAACATTTAAAAATCACACCTTTTTTCGTTAATTAATTATTGCGCTGAAACTTTTCAGGTTCTTAAAAATTTACCAGTTGTAATATTAATTAGCAAACACAAGTCTAACTAGAACAACAGCTCACACTTCAATAACTTCAAACATCCCTAAAGAAAGGTAATGACTGAAACTACTCCAAGTACCGTTGAGCGCTACCTTCTAGCAGTTTGGACCATCTCTACCACCACCTCGGCTATTTTAGGAAATCTGGTAGTTCTCATAGCCATAAAGAAGAAATCAATAAAGCTGGACAGAATATCAGTGGTAATCATAGGAAACCTAGCAGTGGCTGATATGGGATGTGGATTGTACATGCTGACAAACTTTATCAACATTATAGCGGGACGATATGTCTTGGGAGAGCAAAACTGTTTCATATCAGTATTTTTGTGTAACATCTTCTTTTCGGTGAGTATTTTTTCCCTCTGTTCTCTTAATGTTAGCAAAGCAACTTGCTCGCTTTTCCGTTCCTAGCAAGAATACGAAGTACTAGACAAGGCTACTTCATAGCAGGGTTTATTTGGCTAGCAGCGCTGCCCATACTTGGATACGTTATCATGTATCAGGATGAATTCTCTTTCAGTCCCGAAATATTGCGATGCACAATAGTTTCAAAGAAGAGTGGAGCATCTGATGCGTATTCGTACCTCTATTTTGTTTACATTGTCATCCCAGGATTTATAATTCTGGGTTGTACGATTGGACTGCTTATCTATACATTTCGTAAAGCGAGAAAACTGAAACCTGGAACACTAGCGACCAATCTTGGTGTATCAGTCGTGTTTTTGATCTCTCTTCTGCCGGTTGGAATGAAATACATTCTTGCGAGTCAAGGAATATCTAATGAACATTTCACAAGATTTTCAAGCTATCTTACAGTCCTAAACCTTGCAACAAATCCAATAGTGTACCTAATCACAATAAGAAGTTTCGGCAATTTCGTGAGGAAATCACTATCGTTACAAGTTTGTTCAGGGGATTTGAATCAAGCTGCTACTGAACCAACCACGTAAAATTCACAAGCGCATCGAATAAAATAAAATTGTATGATATTTAGCGAACGAGCTTGTGAACGTATACAATATTATATTATATCTGACATTAATCAAGCTGAATACTTTTATTGAACATCTGCGTTTTAGTTTCTTACCTAAATCACTATCAGTCAGAATATCAAGATAACTTTTCGCAAATGGAACCATGGTCGGACTCTTGTTCTTCAGTGCGTGAAGAATCTGAAATTATGACAATTGATAATCAAAAATTCTAATTTACCAGATCACATATTTCGTTATAATGTATTATTGTTGAACAGTTCCCTTTAATAAACTTCGAGCTCCGATCCTTCAGAACGACCTAAACTAAGACCCTAATCTGAAACCCCAAAAAGATAATAACTACCATACCCCACAAAATCTATAAATCATTAAAAAATGTCTTCGTGAGTTACTGTAGATCTACCTGATCATAAGAAGCACTCGAGGAACACTGCGACATGTCACCATCTATCTGGTTATTAAGAAGCAGTATAACGCTCACAACCTCTCCTGCTCCTTCATCAAACCTGTTCTTTATAAATTCTACCTGGGCAGAAGGATTTGTATGTACAGCTCGGTGTATGCTGAGTCAAATAACTATTCATAAGGGTCCGTATGATCATAATAGAACAAAAGCTCTTGCCCAGAATAAATTGAATATTCATGATAATTCTTCAACTGTATGAGGCGAAGGTGGGTCAATGCTGAAAAGCCCAAATTATGTGTAAACGTGCCGTTTAACCAATTTGGGTAATTCTTTGTGTTATGAATTGTTTCTTCATATTCCAAATTGCAAGAATTGATTACACATAATTTATGTTACATCAACATTTTTACGGCCTCTCCTTTATCCTCTGATAAGATTTTACTAATTAATTGTAATTATACATCACACTAATTATGTCAATCAGAGTTTTACTCACAATCTGAGTATCTCGCATGAAGGTGTAGAAAGCTTGGGTGTTGACTCGCCACATAACACCTCCTGAAGAACGACTCTTTTTAGTTGGAGGTTCCCCGTCTTCTGATGGCTCTTCTGTTTTCTCAACATACCCTCTTGATCTTAGTACCTGTTTATTATTTAAATAATTAATTATAAGAAGTATCTTAAACAGTTCCAATCGAAGTAATCTAAGAAGCTACATTTTGAGAATGTCATGGAAGAGTCAGCCATCATGAAATAAAATCAGTGTCCAAATGGCTCATATCAAAAGATAAGAAGTAAAAGTTGAACTCAAACAGAAGCATTGTAAATCGAATTATAAACTGAACAGAAACAAATTGTCCTGTACTACAAATTAAATACTTCAAAAATACCTCAAAAATACTGTCCAAAGTTTCCATATTGACAGTATGTTTATCTTTAACGGATGTTTGCAGCCTGATCAGACAAATATCAAGGAGGGAGTCTTTAAAAGAAGAACCTTGGTGTAATAGCTCCTCCAGTACAACTTCAGCCATGTCACCGTGTTGTTGTTTCACAATGTTGACAAACATTGGGTAAAATGGTAGACTAAGTGACTGAAGTATGTCGACAGTGTATCGAACAGCTCGTTTTTTCTCTCCAATCTCGTCAAACCTAGCACAGAATAGATCTATTAATGGGATTAATATACATAAGCTCAAACAGGTGTGTAAAAAAATTTAAAAATTGAAAATATTAAATTATGAATGGCTTGGTTTACTGCTCAAAATCTAGGATACAAAATACTTATACTACATACCTGACAAATCTGTGTTTTATTAAGACACAAAGACATTGGTTAGCTGTGCGTTTGTCAAATCCAGTGCGTTCAATGATTTCTTTCATACCAATTTGACTGTTTTTAAGGATGGTTGATACTGTTTTGGCACATATTGGGCCAAATAAATCATCCACTAAAGATACTACCAGTTGATGAACTCCAGTTGTCATTGCTTCCTAAAAGTAAATAAATGTAATTACCAAAATTGAATAATTTCATTCATAGTTGAACTAGCATCTAGCATGGAATGAAATGGATAATTCAGGTCTTCTTTTTCACATCAGCTTCACCACGCTGATCAACTCAGTCACCTCACTATTTTGTACTTCACACCCTTCACAGTTCATTTTTTAGCTAATTCGCAGATTTTATAATCGGTCTGTATACTAAGTGTTTAATGACCACATCCGAAGGATGTGGATAAGAGGTCAAATAAGAGGTCAATATTTCCTGGACTACTACCTCTCTGTCAATGACATACTCGACAACCGACACATCTCCACCATCGTCAACTTTGCAAACCACACTAAATGGTTAATAGTGCCAGAGGAGCTGGACCAGACTGGTGTAACATAGCAACTACTTACACGTCGTCTTAGTTCGCCTCTCTCTTCCACACCCAGCCACCACTGAAGCGTTCATCTATGACACACCCCACAACACTTACCATCATCATTGACTAAACATTCTGATTCCACCGGCATCCTCCCATAAGACTGCCATACCCCAGAGGTAGGCAAAGCATCCACATGCTAACCTCTCGTGGGCCAACCAGGCCCAGCCTATCTTTAAATTTTTTTAAATCCGAAGGTTGATGAACCTTGGTGAAGTGAATTAAGACGTCATTTCCATACTTTAACCCGCTCCTATGACCCGAAAAACTATTTTCAAACAAGATTTAGTCTGTCTAACATACTGTACATAACAAACTTACACAATATTAAGTATAATATTCTTTTTGAACTGCAACTAAAGTTTTCTTCAACCTCAAACGTTTCTTCTGTGAAACGATTATTATACTTAACATCTTTATCCACTGTCTTAGTGACCACAGTGCCTTAAATCTCTTCAATAGCCGATCACCAATCGAGGATGATTTAACACATGACTATTTTCAGGAGTGGAGCCATGGGAAGAGGAAACAGCCGCCATCTGAAATTCCTGAACGAGGACTGGACACGGACAGGATCTGAGCTGATTAGTGAAACCAGGGCAAACAAAAAGTTTCTGAGCTTTTTAAGAAATGTGAGTCAAAACCCCTCTCAGAGCAAGTAGATGAGATGGAGAATGTTCGGTCATATTTTACGTAGTGTTGACAATACACCGGCCAATGTATCTCTTGTTTTTGCTGTATCTATGAATGAAAAATTAAAAGGGCGTATGCCGTATAAGTTGTCCCGGCAAAAGCAACCTTAAATTATTGATGGATGACCTTAAAGATCGTAATTTGGTTATGAATACTTTAGAAGAATTGAATGAAATAAAGGATATTGCCCACTGTATACAATTTTGGAGGAACCTTTTGTAGTTGTTTGCACAGTTAACGGTGTGAAGATGATTTTACCATGGTAAATTCGGTATACATACTCAAGTTCGACACCTACTCTAGTTCGACACGTACTGTAGATCAACAAACCCTAAGGTTTTTTTTTAAAAATAAAATATTCAAACAATATACACATAATATAGCAATGACCCTATATAAAATCAACCCTTTAAGAATTCAAAAAATTCCCTTAACAATCAAAAATTTTTTACCCTTGGCCTTGTGGCTCCAAGTTAAGATCTAGACTGTTTATATCTACAATGTTTTTTCTCGCACCTCTGTCTCCACGGAGAGAAATCACTGTTGTTCTGAGGATTTCAAAGCGAAGGCGCTTTCTTATGTATCCTACAGCGTCTGAGTACCTCTGGCCAGTGTGGTACTCCATCTTACTGGCCAGCTTCTTGACCAGTCTCTCAGCTTCACCACCCATTCCACCAGAAGTCGAGAACACTAAAGGTGTGAAGCTTCCTTTCTCCACTTCAAGAACCCTTGCATTGTAACATCGCTTTTTCTCATTTTCATGGGACAGGTACATTGCTGGTATCGGTTTGCTTGCATTGGAGGGGGCTGGGGCATGAAATACCCTTACATCAAAAAATGCCCTCTCTGAAGCATTCCAAATCGATCTTGCAGAAATGTCCAGCCTGGCTTGGTCTCCTAGGACTGTTCCCTTTGGTAACTGTAGACCATCAACTGGAAGAAGAACTGGCTCAGTCTGCACATCCTTGCATTTCACAGTTCTCATTAGTTCTGCAAAGGTGTCTCTCAGCGAGTTGTGCCGCAGTGACACATATCCACCAAGTTTGCAGATGAGCGCATGGTTTGCTGAGTATTTCTGGCCACACGTACATGTTTTAGGGCAGTCCTTTAAGTTCAGGTTGTATCTGAGAGCTATTGCATCTGAGAACTGTTGTTTATTCATCAGATATCCATACTCTTTTAAAGGTAGTGCTGTTAACCAAGCACTTGCCCCTTTCTCAGCCGCTAGTTGGAACATCAACTTTGCCAGTGGTGTTGACTCGAGCTCCTGGCGTATTTCTGCTTGTTTTTGTCGATAAAAGAGATTTCGTTCAGTCGTTATCTCAGTTTTCACTCCTTTACTATGTCTCCAGTCCTCTGTGTAGTTGTCTATCTGCTTGAGAATAGCTTCTTTAAGGGGTTTTGTGGCTCTACATGAGAAATTGTACTCTCGGTCTGCCATTTCCATCATAACTGGTATACCCAATCCTCCATATCTTGGTGGTAGAGCCATTATGTTCCTTAGTTCATCAGTGCAGCTAAACAGCCTGTTAATGATAGCTGGGATAAACTCATCACGTGTTACTTGTTCTAGAGGAGTGAGCCTATCTGCAACTCCTGGGGTAGTTCTGCACACATAGTTCCATCTTTTACTAAGCCCATACATGTATGCACTGTATGCTATTTGAGGTTCTCTTGATGCTATATCACTTAACTGTTTAAGATCACGACACCATTCTTGAACTTTTTCCTCAATGAAAGCCTCTTTTCCTTGGTCTGTTCCGATGAAGCTGCCCAGATATCGTCGACCAATGCTTGTCACATTGACATCTGGGAATAGGGTTCTTGCCTTCTCTTCGTGCTCAGGCTTGACTATCACCCATGTTTTAGAAGATTTAGGGTTGTATCCAAAGAGTGGTCCTTTAATACAGAGGTTATCCCACCACTTCCTTATTTCCTCCAGTTTTCCCCCAGCAGCAGAGTCATCAGCATACCAGATCTGAGTCACCTTTCTCTCAATGTTTCCTGCATCAATCAATGGTATTGTACCAGAGGCATAAAATCCCATGGCAGGTGGATCACCTTGTGTGGTCCCTTCTTCACTAAAAAGATGCTCATCTCCTCCTGCAATGAACAGTCTAGCAGGCATTCTGTAGGTGTTCATAATGTAAGTAGCAACTTCTGGACAAACGATGTTCATGTTGTTGAGAGCAGCCTCTCGGTTCAGCAAGTTGAATGCATTCTCTGCATCCACTAAGATGATTGCTTCAGTTTCAGGGTCTTCAAAGCAGTCCCTTGCAGCATGGACTGCTGCTTCCACTCCTCCCTGAAGACCAGCACAAACTTGATAGGAGCAGTGGCTCCAACCAGATCTTTCTGTAGGAGGGTCATTACTGTTTTCCCTATTATCCTTCTTAAGACTTCACCTATGCCTACTGGCCTGACTCCAGGCTTTTTATCCAGGGGGACAAGTCGACATGCTGTCAATGAGGTCAACAGCGTTGGATCCAAATTCCGGACACATAGTTTCCTTGCTATCCCTGCTATGGCATTACATAGATCCTCACACTTCTTACCAAACTGTTTAGAACACAGTAGTCTCTTCCATGCATCCGCATCATCCCTGAAGGCCCTGCAGCACCCTGTACTCTCTTTGCTGCTTGTCTTATCGATTCCCCGTCAATACTGTCGAATATAACCGGCTCTACCCTCCTCACTGGTCCACTCAGACAGCTTCCCTTTGATGCAGGTGATGCCTTGGGATGCTTCTCTTTCAGCACTTTAATCACATCTGGAGTAGGTTCAAGAATCCCGGTGGCATTTTCACCAATCCACCGCATTGCTGCACTGACTTTTCCTTTCATCATGAGTCGAGTGAAGACTCTCTCAACATGGCCATGTTTATTTTTCCCCTTTCCCAATCTCCTCTGAATCTCCTGTCCTTCTCGCAGCAGCTCTTCTAGCTTACCTGCCTGCCACAAAGCAAGTCTTCTCTTCAACACTTCAGTGTGTTCCTTTGCTTTGGACCTCTTTGAGGGTTTCTGCAACAGCAGTGATGGCATTATCATCAAAAGGGTGATGGTCACTGATTCCATAGCACTGCCTGATGTGAAATTGTCGGCCACTTTAGTCATTTCTTCGATGAATGCTTTTCCTGCTGCCCCTGAGGGAAGCAAAAATATGTTTCTTCTCCATTTAACTATAACACCATATATTTCCTCACATTTTGTCAGAACTTCCCAACTATTCCATGGTCCTAATTTCAATCGAGATGGATCACTTACATTATCATGATCTGGGAAACAGCACTCCTTTGCCTCTTCTACCACAGTATCAGCGTCCTTTGATGTTGTTTTTAGGCATCTTGTACATAGATATTCATCATTGCTTTCACTCAGTTTCTTGTATTCTGTTTTACTGATCTTCAAGCAAGTCCTATGATGCCATGAGTGACATCTTTCGCACAGCAAGCCATCGTCATACTCAGTCACTTTGAGATCGCATATTGGACAAGTCTCGGTAAGTGTCCTCAAATCCTTGATTGCTTGAGAGACAGTTTTATTTGTTTCTTCTGGGTCTGTACATTGATCTAGATTAGCAAGCTTACTAGAATCGGTATTTTTGTTCTCAACTGATTTAGATCTGGTTTTCATCATTTCCAACCCAAAAACGGGGACCACCACTGTTTTCCGAGTCGATTACCAACAGGAGCTGTAGCTTACCGCTGACAGTCCCTACTGGATGCGGGTCTCCTTAACAGTAGTGGATCCGAATTTGGGATCTGATGGAGTAATCTCGACACCAGAGGGTTTTACAGAATATTTCGTCTAACTCTATTGATTTATTATATATCACAGTTGAAATGTGCAATATAACAAAATTAACAAATTTTGTGTAAAAAGTTAAATCAAAT